AGTGACATAAATAATCCAAAGGCTTATGGACGATTTATTCCAAGGTATAGCTTTCACACAAGTACAATGACAAATTATCCTGATTTGTAATCACATGAACAGCGTGTGAGAATCGTGTTAAAAAATACATGAAAACTGAATAAACGGCGATGAAAGTGTGCTGGAAGTCGAATCTTCGAAACTTTTCGGATACAATAGACACAGAAGGCATTGCTCCAGTTAAGAGGGAGGTGGACTCCAACGATATATCGTACCGATGTTTTTAACATAACATAAATATTTAATAAACGTTTATCACTGATTAATACCCGGTTGTTTACAACAATTTTAACTGTTGGAAGATGGTCCTAGAGGAAAAACAAAATTTGATCTACCTTGGTATGACAACAGAGATGTCTCGACTCGTCTCCCTTACAAATATGAAAAAAACTAAGATTTGGCCCTCTTCATACTTTGTCTAATCCTAGCACGAAAGCTACTACCAAGCTAATTAATGGTAGGCATATATAGAAAAACTTACAAAACGATATGCACAAGTTGGTAAGAAAGTGTTCGACATGTCAATTGTCAAAAGTGAACCGTTATATCAACTCAATATGGGGGTTTTCTCACAACCGGACCCACGTTCAATCTGTGTCTTTATAGAATTAGTAGGCTCTATACCTCATTCCAATGATTTTAATTAATTATTTACAATCATATACAAATTCAAGAGGTTTTCAGTGAACACACCAATAGCTGATATTATAGCAGAGACAGGGCTTGGTGACCATTCTTGGCACATCTGTCATAAAAACAAGTGACACTGGAGCCTAATTTTAATCTGAGTTATTCAACAACTTATCGAAATTTATAGGATCTAACAGGATATTTTTCATAGCATATCAATCTCAGGCTAATGAGGTGGTAGGAAAGTTTCATTGTCAGTTAATAGTTACCCCAATATCACAGTTAAACCGCACTGAATGGGCAGAATTTTTACTATTAGTTATATTAAGAATAAAAACATCTATCAAAACTGATTCATAGTGTTGAGTATTTGAACTGGTTTTCAGGACAACAATAAGACTTCAAGGTGAGTTTATCAATCTTTGAATTCAAGGTGAAAATCTCAATCGATCAAGTTACGCGAGGATCGTGGGTGCGCACTGCCACTGAGGAGTGCCATACTAGGACGAAACGTCCGTCCAGTGTTTCCAGGTTTTTCATGATGATCTAGCTTCAGTTGACTCATGATTTCAACTATCGAAATTTCTAAAAATCTCCACAAAATCCCTTCTGATAATTACAGAATTGACCAATGACTAAAACAAGTATCACCATACGTTATAAAATGTCAAGCGTGTACAAACAATTATTCATTCCAAACTACAAAGATCTTTAACTTGATCCACAAAATTTTCCTGTATATTTTTCAATGAAATTTCATTTATTTTTCTCCCCCCATATATATATATAATAGACAATTCCAAAAATCAATAAAATGGTAGCTAAACAAAAATCAATCAATGAACCAATTAATCCAAAAACAAATCAATCAATCAATAAATCAATAATTCGAAAATCAATAAATGAATATTTCAGAAATCAATAATTTGAAAGATCAATAGGTCGACAATTCAAAATATTATTGATTTTATCGGTGATTGAATTGATATTGTAATATTTTGTTTTGTTTTGTCATAAAGATTATTGATTTATTTGATCGATCAATTGTGATCCTTTTTCTTTGTTTTTGGGAATGATGCTTGAATATTATAAGACTTTTGATTTAAAAATTACAAAAAATTTTTGTTTTTGACAGGATTTATTACTTTTATATGATCAAGTTAGATCAAGTAAGTTGGATTGCAATAAACTTTAATATAAGTCACTGAATGTGAAAAGATCCAATCATACTATGTCTAAATGATCTAGAGGCGAGATTATAATTTATGGATGAGCCAATCATGTAGAAGATAATAGGTCTTGAATATTGGCGCGAAATTCATTTATCCGTTTGGCTAAATAAAGTTTTGGCATTATAGCTGATATCAGTTTGTGATGACAACTCTAAATCTAATTTTTAGCCTTCACCATCAACTATAAATCATAATTCGAATTCTTCACACTGATTTATAACCCTTACTTGGTTCTAGTTAATAACTAGGACCCCTATCTTGAACTTGTCATAAGATTATTTTATTCAGACATTCAGTGTGGAGCAACAAGACCAACGTAAAAGAAGTGATGGCCAGATCTCAAGAACATTATCAACAAGAAGTTGAGATTTCCCTCAACGCCTCCAGTTAAATCCAAGGACCAAAACTTATTTTTAAGGAAGAAAAGGTGATGTAGTGAGTCTATAAGAAATAGCCAAAGTTAGAAGTCAATCGATGACATTCAGAAGTGACCTGAAGAAGAAGTGCATTTCATTGACTGAGAAATCGATTGGTTTCGCTGAAGAGTAGAGTAATGTATGTATAAATGAGTATTTGTGCGGTATATTCGGTAGCACAATATACTTTCTTGTCCACTCTTGTGCTCTCATTCAAGTATTCAACGGAGGAGGGTGGTTTGTGCTTAGTACGTCGTGTATCAGTATCAGATTTCGGACACCACCTTGTCATAATAGATAGACAAAAAAATAAGACTTTTAAAACAACATTGAGCACTATATACATATTGACACTCAAAACTTCTTCATCATTTTCATTATCTCATCCATATACGGTTGTATAACACATTTTGTAAATAAATAGCGAGACTATAATTTATGAATAAACCAATCAGATATAAGAAAACAGCTCTCGGATTTTGGCGCAAAATTCATCCCTCCGTTTGGATAAATTGAGTTTCGGCATTATAGCTGATGTCAGTTCGTGATGAAAACCCATAATCTAATTCCTAACGTTAATCATCAACTGTAAATCACAATTCGAATTTTTCACACTGGTTCATAACCCTCATTTAGTCCTGGTCATTAAGTGGACAATTTCAAGGTCACTTTGACGTCCGTAAATTATAGTCTTACCGGTCTAGAGAATGTTTCGAATCATTCCTTAAGGTCACCATCTTGAGTATCGAATCAAACTGTAGTACTTATGATCACTTCACACTTTAATCTTATGAGGTTGATAACATATAAACAAGGATAAGAAATGTATGAGCTACTGACAGTTAAACATAAATACACAGTGAATAATAGACAAAGTCAACAGTTGAAACCATTAATGTTTCATCCAGTACTGAAGTCTAGTTGTTTTGGGGTAGTCCTCAAAATCTCATATGTATCAGTGGATTTCTCAAACGACGTCCAATTACTGATATACAAATAAGTTATTGTTAATGATAATGATGATTGCTGCCTGATTTACTGAAATCAATATTAATTTCCCAGTAAAAGATTATAGAGGTTAGACCACTGTTGAAAACCTAGGAGCATTAAACGACCAATTTCACAGTTCCTGCTTGCTGGGTTGTGGATGCACACTACTGAATTGTCTCATTCTATGGACGAAACAGTCATCCAGTGATTCTAGGTTATCAATAGTAATCTAACTTTGATCGATTCATGATTTCAATGAAATAATAATTTCGTCACAATGAGGATTTATAGAAATTGCAGTTATTTAGTGGTTGAATTCATGAGTCAATTAAAGTTACACCACTGTGAAGAACCTATAGGCATTGAAAGGCCGTTTCATCATAGTGTAAAACTTCTCAGTACTATGCATCTACAATCCTAAGTGCGCGAATGAAGATCTTGGTATTAGATAGTGGTTGGAGGTAGTCAACAGGAAACCCTGGACCCGGGTTTCGTGCTACTTGGCACTCGTCAGCAAGGTGTACCTGTAATCTTGAGGGAACTGGTGCTCCCTGGCGGATTCGATCTCGTGTCACCCAGCTTCACAGTCAGAGACATTACCACTGAGCTATCCGAGCCGTGACTAACCTCCTGTAGGACTGAGATGTAATCACAATTGATTGATCACTGGGTGGTGATCAATCTCATGCTTGTCTAGACCTTCGAATCCGCCAGGGAGCACCAGTTCCCTCAAGATTACAGGTACACCTTGCTGACGAGTGCCAAGTAGCACGAAACCCGGGTCCAGGGTTTCCTGTTGACTACCTCCAACCACCATCTAATCTCAATACATAGTGCCCGCAGTGTCGAGTCACCTAGACTGGTGGCCACATTGCAACATGATCGATAGCATTCGATCTGCACTATTAAGGACTAGACAAGCATGACATTGATCACCACCCAGTGATCAATCAATTGTGAAGATCTTGGTTTCGAACAACCTGTTTGGAATTTTAATGAAATCATAATTTTGTCTAAAGCTCTAGTTTTCGAAAGTTCAGATGTTTGAATTTATACTTATTCTTTTACATATAGACTACTACTGATTGACATCATGAACTGATTGATGTTAGACCACCTTTGGAAACCTGGAAGCACTGGACGACCCTGTCTAACATCACTATCACCATTGGATGCCGGCTCAGTGGTCCAGTAGGTTAAGCGTTCGAGTGCGAGACCAAGGGCCCAGGGTTCGAATCCCGCGAGCGAGATCATGGATGCGCACTGCTGAGGAGTCCCACAATAGGACGAAACGGCCGTCCAGTGCTTCCAGGTCTCCAAAGGTTGTCTAAAATCAATCGGTTCATGATCTCAATCAAAAACATAATAATCTCCATAACCACTATACTAGACTACTATTGTAAATCTATTTATTTGATTCATTGTTATTATAAACTTGATTCTAATATGAATCTATAATGAAAGCAGATTCTAGACACTTGAATAATTAACTAAGTTTTATAGACAAATGAATTAACCAATCATTAAAGTGTTCTGAATGCTTATCATTCTATTCTATGTACTTAATCACATTTAAGTATATGGATAAACGTTTGACAAACTATTAAGATTGATGCATTAAGATTTAGATCTATTTACGGATCGTATCAACACAAAACTAATCAAAGTAACACTATCATCTTATTCATAATTAATGACTAATACAATTCAAAATGTATCATTATGTGTTGATAATATACAGATCCCTTCAATGATATCGGAATTATCATGGATGAATCAATCGGATTTATGTTCAGGAATAACAACTATGAAGATGACGGAGATAGCAGAAACAGCGACAACAACGATGACGACAACAACAACAACGTCATCATCGTCAACTTCATCTACATCTTGTAGTGATTATCATTTTGATGGATCACATCATTTACATATGTTATTTCGATATCCTCATAAATATATAGGAAAAATTCCAAAAAATATACCTAAATTAAAACAGAATCAAGAATCAGGTAATTACATATACTAAGATGGTGAAAAAGAGTTTTTTTGGTTTAATTCATTTTGGATTTTCTATGTGGAGTTTCATTCTTTGAATTGAATAGTTTGGTGCTGTGAAGCTTTCATTGTGAAGAAATTCTACCTGATGTTTGTGATGATGATGTAATCGAAGCTCTACAACTAGACTATCTAACTTAGAGAAAGAAACTCCACCAAAAAAACACACACATCTACATTAGATTGTTCGAGGATTGGTTGAGGTTAGACATTAACATCGTTGGATACCGACCCGGCTCAGAGACCGAAGGCCCTGAGTTCGAATCTCGCGAGCTGGGATCGCGAATGCACACTGTCGCTGAGGAATCCCATAATAGGACGGAATGGCTGTCCAGTACTTCCAGGTTATCAATGATGGTCTAACATCAATCAGTTAATGATCTCAATTATAAACTTAACCATCTCCACAACCCTATACTGTTAGATTGTTCAGTTCAAATAATCAATCGATTTGGAATGAAAACTTTGGTAAAAGTTTGAAATGTCAATCGATTAATCAGTTGTTATAGTTTCGACTATTATTTAGAATAATAGAGGATAAGTCATCCAAAATTGTGAATTCTATGAATGGTTGTTTTAATAAAAGAGAACAATAACTCGGTTGAATAAATATTTTGATATTTCTGGGTATAAGGGCAATTGTTTAGAGGGAGCATCGGTTTCCGGAAGCATATAGGTATACCGTATTGTTAAACAGTGACAGATTATGAGATTTAATTTATGCTTACCATCACTCATCACTTCAATAACTTGTCGTGTTTAGGGATTTATGATTCATATTAAAGTTTATTGGAATCATGAACCAATCTAAGTATGAGAACTATTTAAAGTCTGGATACACTGAAAAGTCGTTTCGTCCTAATATGAGACTACTAAACAGTAAGCAATCATGACTCTGAATGCAGGAATCAAATCCAGGACCTTTAAATTCATGAACAAACTTTTAACCTATAAACCTCTTAGCTGTTATCCGATGGTTTACAAGTATAACTTCAGTTAATCTACAATTTTGTGCAATAATTTACCATGGCTTTCGATGGTCATATAACTCACATGTAACTCGATTGAACTCAACTAGTCATGGCTTGCCACTAGAATTTAAGGAATTTCCCTTAAAAGTTAGTCGCTAGTGTAAATATGATAACTGTTGTATGCGGAATGATGAAAATCGACCTATAATTAGATCTCTTTTTTTAACGAATTGTTGTCATTTGACATAAATTACTTATTTCTGGTTAGCGTTTTTTTAGCGAGTTAGTTTTCTACGGAGTTGAGTCACTAACCCCATGTCCAACCCTCCTCCTTTATCCGGGATTGGAACCGGCAGTAGACCCAGAGTGGCTGCAGGTGGAGTCGTGACATAAATTCCTCAATATATATATGAAATTCTATGGATATTTATTTATAATTGAATTCAAAGGATAAATAAATTTTGAAATGAAGAAACAAAATCTAATGATTGATCAGTTTTGATACATCTTGACAAGTACTGCCGGATTGGGGGGTACCTTTGTATGACATTAAAAATTGACTGATCACTTATTCTGGGATGCCCTCTAAATGGGATGTCTTCAGCTTATTCTGAGATTCTTAGAACTTCCTCAAGTTCACCTATAGGCTGTCCTCACAAATTTACTTCCGAGAAAGCAGTAATTCATTATGTTAAACATTGTGAATAGAAGTTAGAACATTCCTTCATCTCCAGTGTCAAAGATGATACTTGGTGATACATGATAAATAAACATTATCATAGATTTTCAGTTCTTATATAATGATGATTTGAATGATTTACAAGTGTACATCTGTTATAAGTTACAGTAGACTCGAAACATTCAAGTGGTTACAAAAGAGGTTTCAACTAACAATTGAATGCATTCTATGAATGAAGTTAAATAGTCTGTGTAATAGATTGACTTATTATCAGTGAAAGAAATAAGATTTTTATGTAATTACCTGGTCGTTTCGTCCTATTATGGAACTCCTCAGACAGTATGCATCCACAATCCCGCTCGTAGGACTCGAGCCCAGGGTCTTAGGATTACGTTTATTAACAGCTGACACTTTATAATGAAGATGATCTTCACTCACTCACTCACTCACTCACTCACTCACTCACTCACTCACTCACTCACTCACTCACTCACTCACTCACTCACTCACTCACTCACTCACTCACTCACTCACTCACTCACTCACTCACTCACTCACTCACTCACTCACTCACTCACTCACTCACTCACTCACTCACTCACTCACTCACTCACTCACTCACTCACTCACTCACTCACTCACTCACTCACTCACTCACTCACTCACTCACTCACTCACTCACTCACTCACTCACTCACTCACTCACTCACTCACTCACTCACTCACTCACTCACTCACTCACTCACTCACTCACTCACTCACTCACTCACTCACTCACTCACTCACTCATCATCACTCACTCACTCACTCACTCACTCACTCACTCACCACTCACCACTCACTCACTCATCACTCACTCACTCACTCATCACTCACTCACTCACTCACTCACTCACTCACTCACTCACTCATCACTCACTCACTCACTCACTCACTCACTCACTCACTCACTCACTCACTCACTCACTCCACTCACTCACTCACTCACTCACTCACTCACTCACTCACTCACTTCACTCACTCACTCACTCACTCACTCACTCACTCACTCATTCACTCACTCACTCACTCACTCACTCACTCACTCACCCACTCACTCACTCACTCACTCACTCACTCATTCACTTAATTTTTTACTTACTTACTTACTTACTTACTTACTTACTTACTTACTTACTTACTTACTCACTTACTTACATACGCCTGTTACACCCAATGGAACGTAGGTTGGCGAAAAACATTCTCCAGCCCACCTAGTGGTTCAGATGCTAACGGTTTATCTTTGTAGCACTTGTAATCGTTTATGGGTATCGGTCTAGTAGTTGATTAATTCGATCTCTACGACCCAGTTTACCGCTCTCGTTAGTCCATAGGGCAAGTCCTATTATCCAGGAGGCACAACGAGGACGGTGGGTCTAGCTTTACCCAATTTATTCAGTTCTATTATCCTACAACGACAGAGTTATCCATTACTTCTTGATATTCAATGATAATCTTATCAAAATCAATTATCAATGTCAAATCTACATTATTTGTTTATCTTTTCTTTATTCATATTCAGACTTAAAATATCATCAAATACAATCCAATAATGATTTACGTATAAAACTTGAACGTGAATTATCTCAAAAAGTACGTCAAGCTGTAAAAACTCCACCACGTGAACGTATTATTCGTAGACGTTTAAATGAATTTCATTATGAAATAAATAAACGTTTAAAAAATGAAGAAAAGAAAAAACAACTTGTTATACAAATGAATGATAAGTTAAATTTCAACGTAACAACAAATACTACTAATACAAATATAAGTAGTTCAAATAATATGAATAATATAAATGTAATGGATTTACGTATGCATCCAGAATCATATTATCAACATTTAAATTGGTCTAAAAAATCTAATATAAACATGAATAGTCAAAGTATATTATGGAATAAAAAGTCTGGATTATCAAAGAAAGAGATAAACAATTCAACATTTGTACCTGTTACCGAAAATAATCATGAAAATAGTTACTATGATAATCAAATTTCTTTAGATAGTAATGAAGTGCATAAGAATGAAGTAAGAAAGCTCCTTTTCTCTAAAAAAAGATAATTTTATAGATGTATTGATGAGTCAATTAAAGTTAGATCATCATGATAAACCTGGAAGTAACTGAACGGTTGTTTCGTTCTAGTATGAGACTACTCAGTAGTGCGCATCCATGATCCCGCTCGTGGGATTCAAACCCTAAGACCTTAAGTCTCACAGGCGAACACTTAACTTCTAGATCACTGAGCCAGCCAGTATCCAACGATGTTATTGTCTAACCTCAACCAATCAACAGATTGTGAATGCGCATTGCCACTGAGGAGTCCCACACAATAGTACTTCCAGGTCTTCATTGGTTGTCTAACATCAATAGGTTCATTGTTGATAATTCATTGAAATGAATCGCCCTTCTTTTTTTTTCTTTCCTCATAGGATACATCTGATAGTAATCAATCATTATTATACTACTTAAATAACAATTCTATTAAATCCTATTTACATGATCATCATTCATTTAATAAACCACTCAATAATGATTCATTTATTAATTGTATATCAAATAATACTACTTATTCAAAATATCTAATGCATAAATTACATAATTATAAAAATACCATTCTAAACTTAAAACAATCCTTATTACCTATTTCATCCATTCATCCATCCACTTCTAATCATTTAGAATATAATCATGAATATGATCAATTATTAAATGATACATTTACATTTGATTGGAATATAAATGAATCAAATGTTGATCGGGATCAATCTATTGATAATGATCATAATGATGATCGTAATGATGATGATCATGATGATGATCTGGATCATACTATAACTAATCATATACATAAATATTATCAAATGCGATCTAGTTATTTAACTGATGAAGATATACAATTAATACATAAATATTATGAGAAATTATATAAGAATAAAAGGATATTAGATAGAATGAATAGAAAATTAGTAAAGAATCATTTATGTACACGTCAATCGATTATGGAAAAATTTGGACGATTAACTGATGGTGAAAAACAAGTAATATGATTGTTATTTTATAGTTGAATTCATGAGTTGATTGAAGTTACATTACTATGAAAAAAACAAACCTGGAAGTAAATGGATGACCGTTTTGTTCTATTGTGGGACTCGTCAGTGGTAATGCGCATCTATGATCCTGCTTCATGAGATTCGCGTGTGAGCGCTTAACCGTAGATGTGTACTGTTGTGGAATCCCACACTAGGACGAAACGACCGTCCAGTGCTTTCAGGTTTTCCATAGTGGTCTAGCTTCAATTGACTCATGATCTCAACTATTAAAATTAATAAAATGATACTTAAAGCCACTAATAACTTTAAGAATATCTATAGCTGAGAGTTAGATATTTGAATATTATTGGTTTGGTATTTATAACTTCCAGTAATATTTTATTCAGATAGAATAGTTTACATAATAAGTAAAGATGGATAGTGGCTAGCAATAGAATCCAAGATACGCGTCAGCTGGATGCACTCACATCTCAGAGTTAACTTAAACTTCACCCGATTGGACAGGCAAGTGGTTATCGGGAATTAGTAACTAAGGGATAACTCGATGGAGTTTGAAGCGAATAGTATTGGGTTCGAGTCCCAGAGTGAACATCAACTCTGAGATACAGGTATATTCGGCTGATGAGTCTCAATGAGGAGGAAACGCGCGTTCTGGACTTCAACGTTAGCCACTATTCATCTTTGTTTATAATGTTTGTGAATTAAGGCAATATCGAGGCAATTCTCACAGTATGCACATATACCAATAAGAGATTGACCAATTGCAATGCTAAACATTGATGGGAAGATTCAACTAAACAATACCAAGTGAGTTTACATAATATATTTAATTTAATTTATAATGGTTTGGATTGTTGCGTTGTTAAGTGACTATCTGTGAATTAGTAGCTAAGTGGTTAAAGTGTTGGTGTTTGAAGCGGTAGTTATTGGGTTCAAATCCCTGAGTTGTAGGTACATCTAAATGACGAGGTCCAAATAAGGCAAGACACAAGTTCTATATTCCAATGTTACATACGGAATCGATTGGTTCTACAACGAAAGTAAAGCATATAGACTATCTTGGATCACTTCTTAACCAATTAGACGTGTTTTTTTGGTTATGACATCCGTTAACTAAGAGTAATATGAATAATAAACCTTTATGCATAAATCATTACGGTTTTTATCACGAAATAACATCAGATATAGTGCAGGAATGTTTTGTAGATGTGAAGTCTTCCATCCGTTTATTTACTGTTCAAAAAGTGTACAGTATCCAAGACTTTCAGATCTATTTCCTGCATATAAAAGTGTAATTTCCACAAGAGACTTCATTTTAAGAATTTGAAGTTATCCACAACTGTCTGCCATGAATACGTCAGTTTAACTCAATCCAATATGTCAGATAAAAGACTGGAATTATGAGCTTGAAAATCTTCAATGCAGCTTTCATCACCTAAATGAATGAACAGATATCCAACAGCTCTGGACACTGAAGAATGGCCCCTGGTACGACCGACAGCGAGAAGAGTAAGTTCCCTCTTTTCAAATGCTCTCAAAGGCCCACGTGTATACAGTCATCGATAGGGAATTCCTACTCACTACCTTCTCGCAACATTATTGTTATTTACGAAGTTGAGAAGACAAAAAGCAAATATCCTGCGCTTTAACCGGTTTGGCGGATATAGAGAATCTACCTACCTGTAATGTTGGTGATCTGTCCGTCGTGGTGTAATAATAAACTTAATCAATATTTTGTATTCACCTTACGATTAATACACCGTTGAAGTGTTATCTAGTGACGGTTATCAGAACGAATAGTATACAAAGTTTAAAGATTATATTGGTATATCGACCACCATACATTCCAACAGCTGCCTTAGTAACTTAATAACGAAATCTCATCTTTGGTTGTTCTTTTTTTGTTGGTTTCTATGATATTCAACTTTAATCTTAAATGAGTTGTACTACTTTACTTTCATTTAAAACGTTTATTATATTTGTAATGGTCAAATGAAATTTTAAAAGTACAATTGAAGTACTCATTAAATTATTGAACACAGTAAGGGGTTTAAACAGGTTACACAAGTTTATAAATAAGTAGACTTTAATTCAGATCAATGTGTAAATGTAAGGTGATTCAAATATGAACTCAATATGAATAGGTCAGATGCTTTTTTTTTGATGAGGGGCGAGGGAGTTAATTTCAATATTAGATGAGAACTTTCACTTTACTACTTGTGTAGTAAATGAGAACACAAGAGGGGACAATCAAATGTATTTGAATAGAAAGTTACAGAATCTCTAAGTAAAATCTGAGAACTATACAGTAAACAAAGATGGATAGTGATTAGCAGTGAGATCCAGTAAGACGCGTGTTTTGTCCTATTTAGGACGAGTCAGCTGGATGTACCTATATCTTAGAGTTGATGTTCACTCTGGGACTCGAACCTAGTACCATTCACTTCAAATGACATCGTATTACCCACTTAGCTACTAAGTCCTGATAGCCACTTGCTTGTGCATTAGGATGAAGTTTTAAATTCACTTGGTACTGTTTACTTGTACCTTCTTATACAGTAAAGAATTCATTTGCAAAATACCCATTCATTGTCTCAGACTTTGTTGTTTCTTCGTCTTCACACCAATCACTCTCTGGTCTTGTTCTATTTTCTTCGAACTTCTTAATCTTCTGCCGTCAGACATTTTTGCTTTCGATTAATGGGTGATACATACTACTTATATCTGTCGACACCAGTAGAACATACCACATTTGTAAATGATTTGTTCGAATGACTGAATTTGTTATGTCCCGATAAGCATAATGAATGGTAACTTTTGGGATCCATTTGTGAACCAATACTATACGTATATTTTTATTGTATAATTGTTAAGTAACTAAACTATTCATATTCGTGTTCTTCGTATTACAAGCTTTATTTTGACCTATGAACTATTATTATACCATTTACCATTCTTGAATTATGCCCTGTCTATCAATTACTATCTCCCTTATTCACAGCCACATCGGGCTAATTCTTGTACAAATGTTGTTTCCTATTTTATGGTACGATGTGGTCTGTTTGGTTGGTATATAAACCCAGTCTGTTTGAAATAAATGATTCATATCACAGAGGCTGAGATTGGTGTTCTGGACTTAACCGGTTGGGATAGACAGGAAACAGGACCGTTAAGTACTCTAGACTGCTCGTGTGGAGCTTTATGTGTCATTGGTCCGATTGATAATTCACTACTCTCTAATTGGGGCGATATCATTACGTTATACATTAATAGGACACAGAACACAAATTATAACACAATTCGATACTAGAAACCTGTTAGAAAATTTTATTCTAATTAGGTATATGACTTGACTTTTGTATGAATGAAATACACGTATTCATTCAATTGAAATACACAAGATTCTCTTAGGAAGCTGAAAAGATGATCACACAGCATAGTTCATTGATTGTTTGACAATGTGATCAATGTGAGGAATATAAGTTAAAGATTATTCATATGAATTGGTATTGTATGGTAGTTAAGTCAAGATGATATGAGCTTAATATGAGAGAATGAAGGAAAGAAAAACATAATAAGATATGCTTGAGTTTCTGAGACAATTCAAGCTAGACCGCCATGACAAACCTGAAAGCACAAGATGTGCACTACTGAGGAGTCCCATACTAGGACGAAACGGCCCTTCAAGTGTTATAACTTCAAAGTACTCGATAACTGTTTGTTCCCGTTCGAAGTTTCTTCAATACTATAAATCTCGTTTTAAGATAAATGATTAGAGGATAAAATACCTTCTCTTATTAGGTAGCAAATCAACTAGGAAAGTAAATACTGAGATTGCTAACTGATTTAAATTAAACAATCATCGAAAAACTAAGAATCATTCGACACGCATTTCGTTTTATTATGTCACTGCTCAGCACAGAGAGTTCACAATTATCAGGTGTAGTTTGAGGCGTTAAATCTTTTCACCATCGAGTCGGCATTCAATAATTTAAATGTCTAAATTCAATCAATTTTCAATATTGAGCAATCATCTTCCATTGTCTTTGGTCAACAACTAATTTACACCAAGGTTGGTTGAATTCCATTGCTAGAATGACCTCTCGAAATTAATTACTAATGAGCACATAAATATTCAAGACTGTTGGATTTTCATAATTTTTATTATAGTTTGATCTCAGTTAGACATTTAAACCACTGAATACTGGATCAGTGGTCTAGGGCTCCAGACCTGAAGGTCGTAGCAACGAACGTTTAATAGAATGATAAGGCTGTACAGTGATTCCCTGTTTTTAGTAGTTGCCTAACTGAAATTGATTCGTGACCTTTATTACTTTCAACAGTCTCCATAAATCACCTAAGCGAGACTATAATTTATTTACAAATCAATCAGACTGAGGATAACAGAACTTGGATTTTAGCTCGAAATTTATTTATTCATTTGTTTAAATAGTGTTTTGGCACATTAGCTGGTGTCACTCAGTGATGAAAATCATAAACCCAGTTCCTAACCCTAACCACTGAATGTAAATCGTAACCCTATTTCTTCAAACTGCTTTGTAACTCTCATTTAGCCCTAGTAAGTATGTGGACATTCTCAAAGTCATCAAGGCATCACTCAAACGTTGTCCATAAATTATAGTCTCACCGTCACCTATACTGAAAGCAATAATTACTTCCATGTAGTCTAAAGTCCCTAAGTGTCCTGGTTTGACCAAGGGTGGGGAGAGTCAGATCTCCCTCTCCAAATGCTCTCACATAGCCATGGGTATACAGCCACCGACAGGAAAATCCTACTCGTGGAGGGGGTGTTCTCTACGAAATTGAGAGAACAAAAAGCGAATGTCTGGCGCCTTAACCGGGTTTGTGGATAAGGGAGTTGGAAAACCCTGATTCCAAACCATTGGTGCAAATGAGCTCCTGTATCCTGAAGGAACAAATGGCGTATGAACCAATCGTTGGTTGCTGGTTCCTGATACTGCTTCACTGCCTCATCGATTAGACCTTTAGTCCAAAGACCCTGGGTGTGCCCTCACCCCACTAAGAAAACCACGTGCTTTGATCTGGGCACCCGGAAAGTATCACAATCCACACACAAATCAAGTGACTTGTGTGATGCATATTTGTTCAGTGCCTCCTTTATATCAATATTTATGTGTTCTTTTTTTAATTTTTGTTTTCAATCTATACAGTTGTTTTATTTCAGTGGTACTAGAACAGCTTATCTAATGGCTACAATTCAATCTCAATATAAATTACCTGATGGTACACAATATCGTTTAATGAATCAATCAACTAATAAACCATTAGATTATGTAATAATCAATAATTCATTTATTGATCAAACAATAAATGATTGTTCTTCTTCTTCTAAAGTTAATAATTCTAATAATCATAATACCCAAACAACAAATTGTTCATTCAATACACTTCCTACATTGATCGATTGGAATGCAGTTGTTCGTGATAGACATGGACCATTTTGGCCACAAAATTATGGACCCATCTGTCAAACAATATCTAATTTACATATAGAAACAAACAATTCGAATGATCCTAATGGTAAGGTTAATTTTATAGATATCAGATTTGGTGTGAATATTACTTAATTTTTGAAGAGTAGGGTTGCAGACGGCCCATTCGTCCAGTTGTGGGGACTTTTCAGCATTGTAAATCCACGATCCCACTCAGGGGATTCGGATCTAAGGCCTTTAGTCTCGCGCGCAAACGCTTAACCTACTGAACCATTGAGCCGGCATCGAATGGTGTTAATGTCTGACCTCAACCAATCCACGAAATCGCACGACCATCTTACATTGTACTGAGGTAGATACCTGTTTCTACCCGACACGGATTAACTACACTGGTCACGGTTTCTCACCAGAACTCCGAGAATTTTTTCACGAGGCTAGTCACTAGTGAGCACATGGTAATTATCAGTTTAAGGGTTGTGGAAATTGTTACGTTTCTGATTGAGATCATGAACCGATTGAGACTGAAGGCCCTGGGTTCGAATCCCTCTAGCGGGATCGTGGACGCGCACTGCTAAGGAGTCCAAAAATAGGACGAAAAGGCCGTCCAGTGCTTCCAGGTTTTCAACGGTGGTCTAACATCAATCGGTTCATGATCTCAATCAAAAACTTAACAATCTCCACAACCCCTAAACTGATAGTTTATACATCGTTATTCTTTACGGGGTTCAATAGCTTGATTAATACGAAAATATTGGGTTGTTAAAACTTACGACTAGCCCAGTATGAATTATTCTAATCCAATCTTATGTACATCTAACTTAAGGTTCTGAGTTTGAACGATGTTATGACTAATCTAAGGATTACTCTCTTATAACTTAATACTGGATCACCGAAACAATAATCATGAAAACAACTGAAATGATCCACATCTATTTAACAGAATTACCATTTGATTGAAATAGGATTCAGGTTGTTACAGTACTATACAATAAAATGCTCAGTTTATAAGATTAGTTACTTCAAATACATATATATAATTGGTATCTCTAAATATTTATATGATATGATTTACAATTGAGGCTCTGAGTAACATTGTTCCAGAATGTTTCAGGGATAATCCATTAACCGAAAGAATCAAGTGTTGTTAGCAGAAATGGATAGTTGCCAACAGTAGAATCCAGGACGCGCGTTTCGTCTTATTTGGGATTCGCCGATTGGGTGTACTTGCATCCCTCAGTTGATGTTCACTCTGGGACACAAACCCAGTACCATTCACTTAAAACGCCATCATGTTCTCCACTTAGTCACTACCTTGTGCAATCGGGTGATCAGTTGCAGTCCTAAACATCAATGTGAAAGTTCAAACAACCAATACAAAAATCAATTAAAATTTCACCCCAAAGCACAAGTTAGTAGCTATCTTGACTCTGTAGCTAAGTGGATAACGTGAATGGTACTGGGTTCGAGTCTCGGAGTAAACATCAACTGAGGAATGCAAGTACACCCAGTTGAAGAGTTCCAAATAAGACGAAACGCGCGTCCTGGATTCCACTATTAGCGATTATCCATCTATGCTTATAATGCTTTTGACTCAAGTCAATTTTGTTTACCGTTTGTTCATTTACTCATTAACCTTTTTTTATTCTCTAGTTAATAAACCAACCATTCCTGATTATACTGAAGAGATGAATCAACTAAAAAACAAGCAACCTTATTTCAAAGAAATACGAGTTATTTTCGATTCAGAATGTAGTCCTTGTTTATCAGGAACATCAAGTACATCAATATCATCTCCCTTAGATATAAAGCAGTTAGTTGAAGAGTTAACCAACGATCAACAATGGACACCACCATGTTTAGTCTTTGAATCGAGATTTGAATCAGGAAATCTACGACAAGTTAGACGAATGTAAGTAAAATGGCAACAATTTTTTTATAAAAGAATAGAATAATTGATCTAATTAAAGTAGTTTCAAGTTCTGTTAGGAAGTGAAAACAATTGTCATCTGCCGGTTGTTCAGACAGTAGAAACATAATTCTTAAGGAATTTTAAAACGATACTCGATTATTAGGAAGGTTTTGATGATATGAAAGAATGATAGTATAGTCCATTGGGTAGTTATTTGGGGCCAGCCTAATTCACTACCTTTTCGTAAGTTTTAGATGAGTTAGCCCTGTACGTATAAGACCTTACTAACAACGACGGAAGTCTGTATGTCAAGATGACAGTGTATTCTTTCTAGATGAGTATATCTTGAACCTCTTCCCGCCATTGTGAAAAGGCAGAGACACTGAAGGTTTTATTTTTCTAGAAGAAACGACAATTGAGGCAAGAATCATATGAATTCATTATATTTCGTAGGTTTCTTATATATTTTGATGATGAATTACTTTCATGACGAAGCTTGAACCAAAATGAAGATGATTAAGATTCTTACAAATGAAATTTCTTTGAAACTATTGACATTGATTAAACAAGTTGATGTTTTTATGAAAAAGTGAACTTTAAAAGTACATTACACTCTAAAGAATATAAGATAACTGATTTAATTAATCACCTTTCAGGTCAGTTTGTTTTTTTGCGGTAGCACAAAATGAACTCTTTTTTGTTGTTGTGAAATTCATCAGGTCAATAAAAGGACACTAAATCTTTGTGATTTTTTGTAGTTGGGTAATCTCTGTGGTGTGTGATCAATATTTTCAAGGTCAGTTATACTTACTTACTTACTTACTTACATACGCCTGTTACTCCTCGTAGATGAGCATAGGCCGCCCACCAACACTCTCCATCCAACCCTGTCCTGGGCAGTTCTTTCCTGTTCTTTCCAGTTGTTATTCATATTTTTCACATCTGTTTCTATTTTACGACGTAATGTGTTCTTTGGCGTGATGGAGAAAGACATATGAGACGGCCATATGACACAATGAAGAAACTATCAGGGGAATAGAGTAAACCAGAGAGACTGGTAAAAGACAAAGAAGGCAAGCCAATCACTGAGATTCAAGATTTGAGGAACAGATATGTAGATCAGTTTGAGAAACTCTTGAATAGGTCGGCTCCATTGAATCCACGAGACATCGAAACAGCACACACAGACCTTCCTATAGATGTCACTGCACCAACGATCCTGGAAATCGGGATGGTCATCAGACAAATCAAGGGTGGGAAATCAGCAAGACCTGACAATATACGAGTCGAAGCACTGAAGTTAGACATAGAAGTAACTGCATAGGCGCTCCACATTCCATTCAGGATGATTTTGGATAAAGAGCTAATGCCGACAGAATAAAGAGAAGGACACCTTATGGAGATACCAAGGAAAGGAGATTTGAGCGAATGTGAGAACTACACAGGCATTACACTTCTGTCAGTACCAGGAAATGTTTTCAACAGAGTGTTGCTGGATTGGTTGAAAGATTCAGTAGATTCTCGAAGTCATCATAGGTGTACATAGATGGGACAGCTGTCCAATGCTTCATTTTGTTTGATGTCAGTGGTCGATGAGAACTATTCACAGATAAGCTATCTTAATGAAATTTGTCTCAAAAAAGTTTAACTATCCAGTGGTTTCTTTGTATAAGCATCTAGAAAATTAATCTCACTACTGTGTATATCTGAAGTAGGCTATTTAGCTGATATACGAAAAAATATGAGGAATGTACAAATCTAATTATTAGTAAAAAGTCTTCAGTTGGTTCAAAATGCACGATACTATCAAAGATCAAACCGAAGACTTTCTAGTGTTTTAGCTAGGGATTAACCTTATAATCTTTGTAGCGGTATCTGACCGGTTGATCACTGGTAAGTATCATGAACTGATTGAACTTAAACTTTAATATACTTACATAGTCTAATCATGAAAAGAAAAACACCTACAATTCACATCTTCTTTCTTGTTCCAGTTTATGAGAACATGTTGGGAAGATAGCATTAAGTGTTTCCATAGTAGGCTTAATAGGTTGCAAACAGTTGATGAGAACCCAACGAGTTAAATCCATGAGCTCTAAATATTACTTCAATGTTCTGGAACTATCCCTCCAAAGCTTTATTTATTTCAAACAAACAATTTTCATAATCTTATTGAACTCTATTGAACTCTTCACTACTTCATAATATACATATTCCTACCTAATCACCTTCGTATGTATAAGTATGTCAATATCTGTGATCTTAAAATATTTTAGTTTGTAAGTAGCTGATGAGAATCTAACAAAATAAAATAAATCCACATTATTCTGCATTAATCTTCGTTCTAACTTTCTTTAAGAACTAATAATGTTCATGACCTGGTAAGGCTTAGGGTGAGAAGAGTTAGCTCTCCCACGGGAAATGCTCACATATGGCCACGCTTATACAACCACTGACAGGGAAGTCCTACTCACTGTCTTCTCGTAGCATCATTGTTGTTTACGAAATTTAGAGGACGGAAAGTGAATGTCCGGCACTTTAACTAGGTTGGTGGACACGGAGATTCCACCTAGCGGAGTCGGTAAACCCTGATTCCAAACCAATGGTGCACATGTCCTCCAGGATCCTGAAGGAACAGATATTGTATAAACCAGTTGTTGATCGCTAGCTACCATGTGACTGCATCGCTTGACGTCGCTCCACTGCCTATTGGATCGAACCAGGAGATCGAAGGCTCAGGATGTGACTCCCTATGAGAACCACCTGTTTCCATCTAAGCATCCAGACATTATCCCAGCCTTTATACAATTTGAATGATTGATGTGGTGCATATCTATTTGATGCCACTTTGTACCAATGTTTATGTATTCAAATAAATAAATAATGTTCATATAAATAGACAATCTCCATGGATACTGTAGAAAAAGTCTTTTTCCCCACTTTTTTTTTCTTTCTTTTTTGAATCATTTTCTTTTTAGAGGACCATTTCATTATGAATTTTTATTAAAACCGGATCTATATACAAAACGTCATGTACAATGGTATTTTTTTCGTGTACAAAATATACTTCCTGGTTTTATTTATACATTTCTTATTGTAAATTTTACAAAACCAACAAGTTTATATTCACAAGGTTAGTTGAAGAAAACAAAATGTTTTTGATAAAGTTTTATTGTTTAAACTAGATAGTTTGATTGTGGAACTTTCATCAGTTTTGTGAACGATATCATCAGCACAAACTTCAGGTAGAATTCTAGAAAGAACAAAACTTCATGAGAATCATTCACCTGAGCTACAAATCTTCACCATTTAAAATGTTTCCTTAATATATGATAATCTCATGAGTGAACTGATGCTAGACCACTATGAAAAACTTGAAAGCACTGGATGGCCGTTTCTCCTTATTGTGGGACTCCTCAGCAGAGCGCATTCACGATCCCGTCTGGCGAGATTCGGACCCAGGACCTATTAGTCTCACGCGTGGTCGTTTAACCTCTAGAACACTAGCTCGCTCAATTACGTGGATTAGTTGAAGTTAGACATAAACACCGTTAGATACTGGCTAAGCTTTATTTTGACTTGTGGACTATTATTATGAGACTAACTATTCTCTATTATTTTCAGTCTCCCACATTCACAGCCACCTTTGGCTAGATCTTTTACAAATGTTATTTTCTATTTTATGGTGTGATGTAGTCTGTTTGGTTTGTATATAAATTACGTATGTTTGAAATACATGATTGACATCACGGACGCTGAGACTGGCGTTATAGACTCAACAGGCAGGGCCATGCAGGAGGAAGGATCGACAAACACTCTAAACTGCTCGTACTGGTTTACGCATCTTTGGTTCAGTCGATAAGTCACTGTTCTCTAATTATCTGTGTCATTATGTTATACATTAACACTGTAGTGAACGAGAACACAAGCGGGGATGATCGAATGTATTTGAACACAACACCACAGAACATCTTAGTAAAACCTGAGAACCATATAGTGATTACTTAATTTGCATAACATTAATCAACTGTTTCAAACTTGACTGCTCCTTCTGAAAATATCGGTCAGTCGTTTCAGACTTCAGTGTCTCTGTATTTCCATACCAATTGCTTTCTGTTCCCCTTCTTTCCTCCTCGGTCTTCCTGAGCTTCTGCTGTCAGATATTCTATTCCTGACTAGCGTTATGTACTACTTACATCGATATAAGTAGCACACACCACAATAGGGCGCAAAGCCACAGGTTATAACAAATATTGACCATTTTAATAACTAGATATAGATAATATTTACTTATTTCTCAATACGATATATATTATCTTTTATTGTGCTTTGGGTCTTGCCCATAAACCTAATGGGTTCACTCAAAGTCGCCAGTATGTTTTCAGTTTCAGTTTAGAAAGGACTGGATGCTTGTTGGCCAGTGTTAGTCATGGCAATGATTGTCTCTCAGTTGGTCTAACTTTCTTTTGAAAGTATTGATAGATGAAGCTTCAATCACGTGTTGAGATAATGAACTGCACCCGTTGATGATTCGATGGGAAAGTCGATAGTCAGCTGGCAAGTAACTGCTGTGCGGTCCCACAATAAGACGAAACGACCGTCCAGTACCTCCAGGTTTTCCATGGTGGTCTAGCTTCAATAGACTCATGATCTCAACTATTAAAGTTACTATAATATCTACAAAGAAACCCTTCTGATATTAACCAACATATGCACAACCGTGATCGGCTTCAAGAGATATTTCCTGGAGTTCTAGTGAGAAGCAGTGATCAGTAGAGTTCAATCGGGTCTGTTGTGAGATAGCAACCCACTAAAGATTATGATTTACGGTGGCTCAGTTTCGTGGATGAGTTGAAGTTAGACATTAACATCGTTGGATACCGGCTCAGTAATTTAGAGGTTAAGCGTTCGCGTGTGAGACCGAAGGTTCTGGTTTCGAATCTCGCGAGGCGGGATGGTAGACGCGCGATGCTGAGGAGTTCCATAGTAGGACGAAACGGCCGTCCAGTTGATTCCAGGTTTTCCATGGTGGTTTAGTTTTGATTGATTCATGAATTCAACTAATAATCTCTTAGATAGTTTGTACCAATTAGGTGTAACTTTTGAAGAGTATGACAGGTCTGAAATTTCGTCCAGTGCGATAATTATATTCGTTATCTTCTGTATAAACTTCGTATAGATTTTTACAGTAGTCTTGTATATCTTCTAACTTATATGATATTTATCAACTAACCATTAGGTGTAGGTATAGAATCTGTAGATCCATAAGTGTGTTTAGTTTAATGATGACATGTTTTTGGAGACATGTATCTAGGCAGTCATTAGTGTGTAATGGTTCCCATTTCTACGAATTATAAGCTGTAGGATCAAGATGTAATTAACAGAGGTCATGTCAAACATAACAAAAACAGTCGAAGAATAACTTCCACATTTTCTCATTCCTAATTATTGACCTACTCACAACAATAAATTATGGTTATGAAATGATGAATTGATTGATTCCGAACTAAGGTCAAACGTTTATTCAATATATTATTAAACTTTAAACGTTTCCTAAAATATCTAAGAGTTTATTAGTTGAGTTCATGAATCAATTGAAACTAAATCACCATGGGAAACCTGGAAGCAACTGGACGGCCGTTTCGTCCTATTGTGGAACCCCTCAGCATCGCGCATCCACGATCTCACCTCACGAGATTCGAACCCAGGACCTATTGGTCTCGCGCGCGAACTCGTAACCTCTTAGACGAAACGGCCGTCCAGTGCTTCCAGGTATTCCATGGTAGACTAGCTTTAACTGATTCATGAATTTAACTAATAACAATTACTATAATCTCTACAAAACTCTTATTTGAAAGTTCTTTTAACAAAATGTAAGTTATTTGTCAAGGCAAGTTTATTTCATAGAATAATGAGACATAAATAACTGAATAGTTTATCTTCCCTCAAATAGGTTTACAACCTTTATTGTATTCAAAAATGAATTATCAACAAAATGGTAAGAAATGGATACGTGTTGGAAGAAATATCAAGTAAGTATGATATTTGCCTGTTTCTAAATGTATGAGGAGTTGATTAAGTATGAAGACGTTTTCATTCGGGAATTTTACATAGATTTGTTTACTATACTTACTTACTTACGTCTTCTACTCCCAATGGAGCAGAGGCTACCGACCAGCATTCTCCAACTCACTCTATCTTGGGCCTTCCTTTCTAGTTCTATCCAATTATTGTTCATTCTTCTTATGTCTGTCTTCATTTTTCGGCGTAATGAGTTCTTTGGTCTTCCTCTTCTCTCTTGTCATTGAGGATTCCAAGTAATGAGGGCTTGCCTTATGACACAGTTGGGTGATTTCCTCAAGGTGTGTCCTATCCACTTTTGTCTTTTTGAAGGTAATTGAACCTGAGAGGTATTTCTGAAAAGTTATTATTTCCTTGTACTGACTTAAACAACGAACATATATTATTCCTGGTGATATATGTAATTTGCAGTTCTGTTTGTCGTATAAAATAATCTAATCACTAAAACGGTAGTTATGTACTACTGATATCGACAGATATAAGTAGTATGTATCATCCACAATCGAAAGTGAAATGTATGGCGGCAGACGGTTAAGAAGATCGGAGGAAACAGAACGAGAACAGAGGATCATTACTGTGAAAATAAAGGAACAATGAAGCCTGAGATGATGGATTGATATTTTGCAAATGATGAATTTATTGTACGGTCCTCAGATTTTACTAGGGGACTCTGTAAAATTGTATTCAAATACATTTGGTTCTTCCCACCTGTGTTCTCGTTCACCACAAAACAAATGTGATTAAATTGATATGAACTTCCCTGTAGTTGAAATGCTAAAAAACTGGAAGACCTCACTTTGCTACAAACCAGTTTTGACATTGATTGTAAATCATCGTAAGTACTTCTGATTGTTAATATAGAGGCGATCCAACTACACATTGGAAACCATTCATTCTTTGATAGTGAGTAGAGCGGCTGGCACTATGTCAAGCCAACATAACTTATTCTACCTTTCGGATGGACTAATTTACTCATTCTTCTTCCGTCGCATCTTGACCTTGTTAATTATTCTCTTCGTCTCTTGTTTCGATTTAGTTCGCTTCACCTCGCTTCACTTCGATTCGATTTGACTATAAGTGAGTTAGCTAACCCGCCTTCCCCGATTCCCTTCGCCTCGGTTTATTTTCCTCTTTGTTTCGTTTCTCTGATTGTCCATCTAGATCGACGATTGTCAGAAATATACTTATTCAAAATCCATTCTCGTATGTGACTTATTCAATTCCGTTATTGGCTAACAAGAGTTAAGTCGATAATCATATACGAGGATCTATAATATGTCTACTTCAATAACAATCAATCATACGATATTACTGGAGTCAGATCCGGGGCCATTAAATTAGAAGTATCCCGTGATAAAATCGGCAAAAATTGGTAAATATTTATAGTCTGATAGGACATTTCAACAAATCGGTCGGATTTCTGAAATAGATCTGAGATTTGGGGTTGCTGACCCCATGTCCAACCCTCCTCCTTTACCTGGTCTTGAGACCGGCAGTAACTGTAGAAGAGTTACAGAAGGAGTTTTCTGAAACAGAGGAGGTAAATGAGATAATATTTTGCTTACTGATCAAGTTTGAATCCTAACTAATTTGTTTGCAGAAATTAGGACCGTTGACTAATTATCTGAATATATTCACAATGAATTAGATCTGTTATATTGGGAGTATTAGAGAACTCTTTGAAAAAGTCTACAAAAGCTGAAAAAGACAGAAAGTACTTCGTTTAATTAGCCTCCAATGAAAACTTTCTACATTTCGTTACAAAGTGTGACATGTTTCCAAAATCTTTTGGAGTATCAAGGTCATTCGTAGACCTGTAAATATCCTTGTAAACAGAGACAAGGCTCGTTGCTCAACGAAATACCGAGGCAATCTGCATAGGACGTACATATTGTTAATAAGAGACTGATCAGTTACAGCCGTATACATCCATTGGATGAACTATAAGTATGCTTGCTTTCTTCATTTAACCAACATACTTCTCACCTTTTGTCATTCATTTGTGATCCAAATGTAAGAGATTTTGGGATATTAGGGAATGGTTAGAAAGTCAGTAACAAGCGTTCAAGCACCAGCTATTCAAATAAATTCAAATGTTCAACGGAAGTACTATGATTATAAGATTATCGATTAGAGAATAAATAATAAGGGATTGAAATTAACGTCATGAGTCGACCAATGATCATTCACTTCTGTGCCATAATTTTAAATATCAACTACAATATTTGAAAATCACCTACGTAATTGGACCCCTCCCCTTCCACACATACACATTCATGCACACTCATGCATAACGTAATAAATGTGTAAGTACAATGTTGAGAAGCGTCGCATTTCAACAACTGAAGAACGTATGGAACTCAAAATAACTGTCTTACAACAAAAATCAAAGTGAAAATCTTCAATACGAACGTCAAGACAGTTCTACCGTACGGGGCTCAAACCTGAAGAACTACTACAACCATCATCGAAAAGGTACAAGTATTTATAAACAATTGTTTACGTAAGATATTCAATACCAGTCGAACAGATACCGTCAACAACAACCTACTATGGGGTAGAACAAACAAGCTTCCATTTGAAGAGGAAATTAGGAAAAGATATTGGAAGTGGATAGGACACACATTGTGGAAATAACCAAAGTACATCCGGAAGCAAGCCTTAACTTGAAATCGTGAAGGTAAACAGAAAAGAGGAACACCGAAGAACACACTACATCGAGAATTGGAAGCAGACATGAGAAGTATGACTAGCGGCTAGAAAGAACTGGAAAGGATTACCCAGGACAGAGTTCAATGGAGAATGTTTACACTCAGAACTATTTTCTACATGTAAATGAATATCATATGTTCAACACATAAACTAACGCAGAATACAGTATAGACACTACGGTACTCGAACGTATGCAACCTCCACAGTCGCAAATCAAAAAACAAAAGAAGACTGGAGAAGTGTTTGTTGGGTAAAAATCAAAATGTACAGAAAATCATGGGTATTTATAGATATTAGTGTTCGTTATATCAACATTATACTTCAGCCAATCCGCAAAGAGGTATGTCCAATAGTAGGATACCACATTGATATTTTAGAAGTTTCCGTTACGTTCTAATTAAATGGGAACTCTTTGGCTCATTTAGGTCCTCCGGAGGCTCCGTTGTATTTCTCGGAAACCATCCCAACATAACAAAGCTTAAAAGTAATCAGTTTAATATCTATTGTAGGGATTAATGCTCATTATTGAGTAGTTCAATACTAAGGATGAAACTACTATCCACTAATCTCTAATATACAATTAGTTATCTAACCAAAGTCATTTCATTCTATCCATTATTATTACACTATTCTGTCCCTACTTTGTATATTCTCTCAGATATACACGTAATACAATGAATTTATCCAATCATTTACTTGATACAAATAGTGAATATTATCAATTGGAATGGGAAATGGTTAGTTTAAATTTGATAATGTGTTTAATTGATGATACATTATTACGGAATCAATCAATTTATGAACCTCTATCAGATAATAACTCCTCCTGTAGCCCCTCTGGGGCTACTGCTGATCCCGAGCCCGGATAAAGGAGGAGTGTTGGGTATGGGGTTAGCGACGCCATCCCGTAGAAAACTAACTCGCTGAAAACACGCTAACCAGAAAAAAATTATTTAAACCACCGTCAGATAATAAGATAGTTTTTAGATATGATTTCTAACATATTTAATACAACAATAATTATACCTTGTTAAACGTTTTTATATTTATTTATTTAAAAACACATAAACATGAGTACGAGAAGGCACCAAATAGATATGCACCACACAAGCCACTTGATTTGTGTGCAGGCTACGATACTGCCCGGATGCCCAAACCGAAGCAAGGGGGGGCTATACACCGAGTCTATGACCTAAAGGTCTAATCCACAAGGCAGTGGAGCAACGTGAGGAGATGCAGTCCTATGGTAGCTAGTGACCATTTGGTTCATACGCTATTTGTTCCTACAGGATACTGGAGCCCATCTGCACCGTTGATTTGGAATGAGGGTTTTCCAACTCCTCTGAGTGAATCCTCCATATCTATTAACCCGGTTAAAGCGTCCGACATTCGCTTTTCATTCTCTCAATTTCGTAAACAATAATAATAACACGAGCAGGTAATGGGTAGGACTACCCTGGTATGCACGTGTCCGTATGAGAGCATGTGGAGAGGGAGAGCTGACTATTCCCACCCTCGGTCGCACCAGGGCATTGGGGGGCACCTTTTTTGTAGACATCCTATTTGAGAATAAACAAATCTTACGTAATGGGTCTAACTAGATGAAATTAGAGAAGATAATTTTGGAGCGACAAGGAATTCCTATATAAACACGTCTATTAGATGAATTCAAAGTACTTTTTGCTAGTAGATTAAAGGAGAGTTAAGCAAGTTAAAAAATATAGTAAATATAGGGTAAATTGAATGAAGAATTTTAGAGCAAAAATTAATAATCTAGCTATTAATAAATTAAACCAATTCTGAGAACAACAGAATATTTTGCAAAGAGTTATTTTTATCATCGTTACTTCAAAGGCATTATGTTATGCGGTTAACCTTGTCTAAGATGGTGGTTGGAGGTAGTTAACAGAAAACCCTGGATCTAGGTTTCGTGCTATTTGGCATTCGTCAGCAAGGTGTACCTGTAATCTTGAGGGAACCGATGGTCCCTGACTGATTCAACCCCGTGTCACCCAGCTTCACAATTAGAGACATTACCGCAGAGCTAGCCGGGCTGTGACTGACCTCCTGTAGGACAGGTACACCTTGCTGACGAGTACCACATGGCAAGAAACCTAGGTCTAAGGTTTCCTGTTGACTACCTCCAGCCCACCCCACTCTCGGCCATACCAGGACATTTGGGGGCAACAATTTGTTAGCTAACATTTGTCTGTGAACTGAATTACTGGAAAGTTTAAAACTTACATCAGCCTTCCAACTGGACCATATATTGGCGCTAAATACACCCATGTACTTTTAACTGTTTGGGTGATTGCAGTGTGTTGGAATGTGATTTTATTTAATGAATCTAATACATAAGTGTCTGAAATTATCTGTTACTGTTTAATATGTACCTGTTAGTATAACATACTACAAGAGGTTGGATAAAAAAAAACACAAATAAGATGAAATTTAGAACTTCGAACAAAGTCATTGATCAAGAATGCACTGTAATGTACCATAATCATCTAATAAATGAACTTTAGAATTGTGGTGTGTGTTACTGATATCGATAGATATAAGTAGTATGTATCATCCACCAATCGAAAGTGAAATGTCTGTCGGCAGACGGTTAAGAAGATCAAAGGAAAAAGAACAAGAACAGAGAATGGTTACTGTGGAAATGAAGGAACAATGAAGTCTGAGACGATGGATTTATATTTTGCAAATGAAGTATTTATTGTATGGTTCCGAGATATTACTAAGTGATTCAACTGAGGAGTCCCACAATAGGACGAAACGACCGTCCAGTGCTTCCAGGTTTTCCATGGTGGTCTAGCTTCAATAGACTCATGATTCAATGTATTATGTATTCATCAGTGTTATGTGACCTCTAAACATTTTGATTCTATTTATCACTCAGGAATTTCCTTATGCCAATGATATTTGTTATTTGGCCTATTCCTATCCGTACACCTATACAAATTTAAAATTTGATTTGAATGAATTACTTATTAAATCAAACGAAAATGAAACATTGAACAAAACAATTAATTGTGAAGTATTATGTCAAACTAGAGCTGGCAACTCATGTTTCCTGGTTACAATTACTGATCAAAGTAAGTTTTTTTGTAGAGTGCCCTGTTGTTGTTGATAATGCCAGTTAGAGAACAGTGAATTATTAATCGGACCAATGATGCATAAAACTCGTACGAGCAATCTAGAGACCTTAGCGATCCTGCTTCCCCGCCTACCCAGCCTGTTAAGTCCAGAACACCAGTCCCCGCCTCTACGATGTGAATCATTTATTTCAAATATACTGGGTTTATACATCAGCCAAACAGACCACATCGTACCATAAACTAGGAAACAACATTTGTACAAGATCTAGCCAAAGGTGGCTGTGAATGTAGGAGACTGCAATGAATAGACTGTGCATAAATCAAGAACGGTAAATCGTATAATAACAGTTTATAGGTCAAAATGAAGCTTATAATAAAAGAAACATGAATATATATAGATAAAATGATTGTTAAAGGTAGTCAACAGGAAACTCTGGACCCGGGTTTCCTGTTGTTTATCTCCAAACACCATCTTATCTCAACATAGTGTACGCAATGTCAACTCACCTAGACTAGTGGCCACATTTCAACTAGGTCGATAGTATTCAATCTGTACTAAGAAGTAACTGACATACATGACATTGACACCACCTAGTGATCAATCAATTATGAATATGCATAGTTTAGCGACGAAACCAATAATCAAACTTTGTCGTTTGCTTCACATGTTGTTTGTGACTAGAAAGCCACTAAAAACCAGAAAGCATTGGTCAGTAGTATCTTCGTAGTGTAGAACTCCACAGCCTTATGTATGCACTACTGCTCCATCAACTAGTCACAAAACATTCAGTCATTAGTGTGCGCTCTAAATCTTCAAACCACTGGGTTGAGATCAAACAGAACAGCCATTCATAGATCCCTAGTTTTCAGTGATTATCTAGCTACAGTCAATCGTTGATGTAAATTACGAAATCCCACAGTCTCCAAGATTTCTATATAAATTTTCGATAGGTGATACATTATGAGCACAGATAGATGATGACTATCAGTAGAACCCAGGACGGGCGTTTCTTCATATTTGAGGCTCATCAGCTGGATGTATCTACATCCCAGAGTTGATGTTTACCCCAAGACTTGAACCCGGTACTGTTCGCTCCAAACTCTTAAATACAAGTACATCCAACCAAAGACGACTTCCAAATAGGGCGAACCGCGTATCTTGAACTCCACTGCTCATCACCATTCATCTGTCCTTATAATACTTATGACTTATGGCAATATCGAAGTAATCTGCACAGGATGCACATATGCCAATAACCAATTGATTCATTGTAGTTGTAAACATCAATGAGATTATTCAAACAACCAATACTATTTTAACAATTGAGTTCGTGAGTCAACTGAAGCTAGACCACCATGGAAAACCTGGAAGAATTAGACGCCCGTTTCGTCCTATTGTGGGACTCCTCAATAGTGTGCATCCATGATCCCAATGATGGTCTAGCTTCAATTGACTCATGATCTCAACTGTTGCAATGACTACAATCTCCACAAAACCCCCCTTCTGTCACCAAATACTATTTTGGTCAGTAAGCTGTTAACCATGAATGTGCTATAAATATTGTTTAAATAAATAAAAAAAACTACAAAAATTTGTTTTCACAGATTGAAATCATGAGTCAGTTGAAGCTAGACCACCATTGAAAACCTGGAAGCACTGGACGGCCGTTTCGTCCTAGTATGGGACTCCTCGGTAGTGCGCATCCACGATCCCGCACCACGTGGGGCTCGAAGCCAGGACCTATCAGTCTCGCGCCAGGCGCTTAACCAACCAGACCACTGAGCCGGCATCCAGTGGTGTTAATGTCTAACTTCAACCAATCCACGAAGTTGCGCCACCATATACCACTGTCTTCAGTGAGCTGATATGGTGGCGCAACTTCGTGGATTGGTTGAAGTTAGACATTAACACCACTGGATGCCGGCTCAGTGGTCTGATTGTTAAGTGCTCGCGCGCGAGACTGATAGGTCCTGGCTTCGAGCCCCACGTGGTGCGGGATCGTGGATGCGCACTACCGAGGAGTCCCATACTAGGACGAAACGGCCGTCCAGTGCTTCCAGGTTTTCAATGGTGGTCTAGCTTCAACTGACTCATGATTTCAATCTGTGAAAATTTCTAAAAAATCTCCACAAACCCCTTCTGATAAAAATTTGTTTGTTTATTTATTTCGGCAAACAAATAAACAGACATACCAAATAAAGATAAATATGCAGTTGTAATCACTGGTCGTGTTCACCCTGGTGAAACCAATTCTAGTTGGATAACTTATGGATTATTGAAATTTTTAACAAGTAATCAATCAATTGTATTAACATTGAAAAAACAATATAGTTTCTATATTATACCAATGTTAAATCCTGATGGAGTAATTGTTGGAAACTATAGGTAAGTCATAAAAGAGATGAATGGAACGGTGAGATTAGAATTTATGAATGAACCAATCAGAGTGACGATGATAGATCTTGAAATTTACCGCGAAATTCACTTATCTAATTCGTAAATATTAGTTGTAATTCCTCACGATGGTTTATAGCTCACATTTAAGTGTAGTATGTAGTAGATGAACATTCTCAATGTCTCGTTAGCGTCGTTCAATGGTCGTTCATAGATTATAGTCTCATGGATGTAACGATTTTGGTTATGCAATTTATACAATACTTCATATAGACTCTTAGTTTTTTTACTGTTACATTGTTGATTGGGGATAAGAGTTAAGAATAGGATAGATTTTGACTGGGTAAAACTCTCAGATTATAAAAGGAGAAGAATTTGAAATTGTAACCTATCGGTTGAAAATTAATTATTGTTATTAATGAGAAATCACTATACTGAAAGGTGTGTTAGACAAGTTATTCGATGTTGTAATGTTTTGTAAGGATCATGTCATAGTGTTAGTTATATCATCAAAGTTATATAATATACCCTTGTGAGCCAGGGTAATTCTATATTGGTTTTTAGGAGAACCAGACACCATCCAGACTTTTACGTGACAACGCAAACAGTACAGCTCAATCCCATATAACAGGAGAGCCAGAAACTACCCAGGTTTAAAATGTATAGCCCAAATAGTAAGGCTCAATCCCGTTTCCACAAGAACCAGACACCGTCCAGGCTTAAACTTCATAACCCGAGCAGTACAGTTCAATCCCGCTCCACAGGAGAACTAGACATCATGTAGACTTTAATGTTACAATCTGAATAGTAAAGCTCAATCCTGTGGCGCAACCACACAGGTACCAAACACCATTCATGTACACATTTACGTCACATGTTTAGTTATTCCGATCAATGATCGCGTGAATCAATTGTGCACAGCAAGAACAGGCCAAAGTTGACCTATTCCGCTTACACGACAGTCAAACTCATTAATTTTAGTAATGGCAACATGCCTTACAATGTCCCAATGGCCCTTGAGAACACTGAAAAGCAACCACCAGTATGAATGAAATCGGTTAACCAGCAAACCAATTTTGCGCATGAACAGTCAGCAAAACTTGCAAAGTAATACCGAACCATCCACAATATCAATGGCAGACCTCCAGTCTCATGTGAGACCTTCAGCTCTACATAACCACATAGCTTATACTACATACAGCACTTATGTAGGGTAGTAAACGAAAATGTAAACATTTCTGACACACATAAAAATATTTGTTGCGGCAAATTTGAATTATAAACCAGTTCAGATATCTTTTTTCAATATGTTATTGCAATGACTTGAAATAAGACTGGTCTATCAGTGTAGTAGTTTGAATTAAATGCTGATTACCCAGTCAATCAGTTGCAATGTAGAACCTGATAAGTATGTACAGTTTATGCTGTTTGTTCAAGAGACACACCATACTGTTGTTATATCTTCAGTTACTGCCTTTAGCCATATCATTCTCCGACCGACTTAGCTGACCTAAAGGAACATATGTTCCAGCTAATATTAGCTTGGTTGAATCACTACAATAACCAACCCGACCATCACGCCATGGTAGCAAATAACATCGGAAAAATGCTGATTACTGTTTCTAATATAACAATTTACTAGCAGTTAATCAATAATTTGATGTTGTTGTGTGTATATAGTTTACACAATTAGTAAGTTAATAGATAAAGATTTTAATTATCCATCCACCAAGGGAACAACAGCAATCCATTAGCTGAATGTAATCATTCAAATACAGATCTTACTGAAACTTGATGATAATTGTCTCCAAATACCCTGATACGGTCGAAAGCCGGGAGAGTTAGGTCTCCTTCTCGAAATATTCTCAAACGGCCACGTGCATATTATCACTTCCAGGAAAGTCATACTCACTTCACTCTTGCGGCGGCGGTGGGGCAGTTCTAAAATCACCAGAGAATTTTTGGAAGCTTGTCACTCAGGTTAATCTGCAATCGGCAAACATTGAAACCGACCAAATTTATCAACCAATCAGAAAAATTACAGACAAACATATGATCAAAAATCAAATCAATAGAAGATAAAACCAAAATAGAGAAGTAAACAACGATAAGTTAAAGGTCAACAATAAAGAATCAACATCAAGGTCTACAGGACAAGCTATGAGACTTATGTGGAGAAATTCGAACACTCCACTTCTACTCGAAGTTCGTGATGATGATGTAGTTCAGAAGAACAACGAAAGCTCCACGACAAAACCATCTAGCTCGGAGAACAAAACTCCACCTAAACTAAACTAACGTTGTTGAAACTCCCGCCTTCTCGCAGCGGGGATGTTGTTTACGAAATTGAGAGGACAAAAAGCGAATATCCGATGCTTTAACCGGGTTAGTGGATATGGAGGATCAACCTAGGGCAGTTGGAAAACCCTCATTCCAAACCAATGGTACACATGGGTTCCCGGATCCTCAGGGAACAAATGGTGTACGAACCATTTATTGGTCACTGGCTACCATGTGATTGCGTCTCCTGACGTTGATCAACTGCCTTGTGGATCAGACTTTTAGGTTGAAGGCTTCGGGCATGGTTCCCTAAGAAAACCACTTGCTTCGGTCTAAGCACCCGAGTAGTATCACAGCCCACACACAAATCAATTGACTTGGGTGCTCAAATAAATAAATAAAGCCAAATACAGATTGGTTGGGATGAATTTATTTCAGCCATTCATTTATCGAGACAGCCGTTAAAGTCAAAAGCGATAAAGCGAAGAGAAGAAGGCAAACGCTCCATCTCACTTTGTTATTAGCTTGAATCACTATTTATAGCCAAACAAAAACAAACTAATGACATGCGATAAATAAAATAACCGATAAACTCGCATACTCAAATGAAAACAGTCAATATTATAAGCGGATAATTGATATGGCCAAAACATATATGGACGATGATTCCGGAAGAATAAAGTAACTGGTCTGTTCAAAAACTAGACTAATGAACATAGGCGTGATACGGTACTAGATACTATCTATCTTTGTTTATAGAGCTTGTGACTTCAAGTAATATCGAGGCACATATGCCAACAAGTGACTAATCAGTTGCATTCTTAAATAACAATCGGAATTTACAAGTAAACAACATCAAGTGAACATATGTTTAAGTTTCATAATCACTTTAGAGATAGCTTCTCTTGATTTGAGCGATCTACACACCAACTAGCTAGTAAACAACATCAATGTTTCATGGTTACCTATATTGTGGCTTAAAAGGTTTGAGTATTTTTTTCTGGTCAGCGCTTTTTTAGCGCGTTAGTTTTCTACGAGATAGAGTCGCTAAAACCATGCCCAACCCTCATCCCTTATCCGGGCTTGGGACTGGCAGTATTCCCCGGAGGGACTCCAGATGGAGCAGTATATTTACAACTGAAGAACATCTGGAACTCAAAACAATTGTCTCTCAAGCAACACCAAAGTCACAATTTTCAACACAAATGTCAAAACAGTTCTACTGTATGGAGTGGAAACTTGGAGAACTACGAAAGCTATCATCCAGAAGATACAAGTGTTTATTAACAGTTGTCTATGCAAAATACTTCAGATCCGTTCGCCGGACACTATTAGCAACAACGTACTGTGGGGAAGAACAAACCAGATTCTGGCGGAGGAAGAAATTAGGAAGAAGCGCTGGAAATGGATAGGACACACATTGAGGAAAGCACCCAACTGCGTCACAAGACAAGCCCTCACATGGAATCCTCAAGGCCAAAGGAAAAGAGGAAGACCAAATAACACATTACGCCGAGAAATGGAGATAGACATGAGAAAAATGAACAAGAATTGGATGGAACTAGAAAAGAAGGCCCAGGACAGAGTGGGTTGGAGAATGCTGGTCGGCGGCCTATGCTCCATTGGGAGTAACAGGCGTAAGTAAGTAAGTAAGTAAGTATATTGTGGCTTAAGGTCAAGATAGTAGAATAATTCTCTCATTATCTAACATTTTGAATAAATCAACAAGAGTTTCCATTATTGTAATTGATTAAAAGATACGTTTATCGGGATACCTTTTAGATATAAGCTATTAAATTGAATTGCATATTAGTTGGAATGGTTCAAATCAGTGTAGAAACTTTATTTAAAATCCTCGTATAATCATTTGACAGCATTTATTTACACTGTATCTTTCTCGAATTGACTCCTTCTTCTTCTTCTATTTTTTCAAAGATGTTCACTAACAGGGAGAGACTTAAATCGTAATTATCGTCAACCAAAAAAAGATGTATTTCCAACTGTATGGACAGTGAAACAACTTGTGAAATGGTGTAAAAAAACATATAAAGTAAGTAATAAGAAAAAAAATCAATAAGGAGGTGTGTAAAAGTCATTGAATTGATGTTTTAACGGAGAAATTATTGAAGAACTTCATCGGTTAAGATGACTGAGACATGCACTACGTATGCTCAACCACTGACTGCTCCGATGTGCGATGTTTTGTGGTGTAGAAATAGGTTGGAAGAAAGCTAGGAGCGACCAGATCAAAACAAATCCATGAAGTCACTGACAAGTGGACTAAGACAACTTGGTAGGTGTAGACTACCTGGTTGAGATCCATGAGATGATAGTAACTGATGGTTAGAGACCTTGAATGACATGGCTCAAAATCGTTTGCTTTGGCGCAGATGCATCCACTCTTTATGTTCTACCAAATTCCAATCTTCTGGACTCTTCATGTCCCTTTCTTTTTTCTCTTTCCAAATTTATTTCACTGGATTATACTCCTTGAATAACATTTTCAAACCCTAATGTTTCTGATTACTGATTATACTCTTACTACCTCTACCACTACGGGATTTGAATCGACAATTGTATCTGTGTGCTAATGTGGTATGACAACTCGAACTGATGTACGTACGTACGAAGTTCTACGTTGTTGATGACTGACTGAATTATTGAAAAAATTGATATTCTGAGAACTATTTTACAGATTATGATTGATTATATTTTTATTTATTAGACAATTGGATTATTAAGCTTCGATATTCCCTGAGCTATACATTTTATCATTCCTTAGTAATTGTTAGTATATTATAAACCATTTGTTCCATTCTCTTTCATATATGGCTTAATTGTGTGTTAAGTATGATTTATAATTTAGGGAACAATGTAGTCTGATATGTCATGCATATAAACCAATGGATATTTCAGTTATAATAACTAAGTGCATGAAATGTAATAACCTAAAAGCTTGCCTGATGTGTCCGGATTACAAATGAGGATAAAAACACATACTTTCTCGATAGATAATTGCGACAATCTAGACCCTTTTTTATGGAGTTTTGTTCTGTGAGCTGGATAATATTTTTATAGAGCTTTCATTGTTCTTCTGAACGAAATCATCAATACAAACTTTAGACCTTAACTCAAAGATTATTTGTGCAAGTTGAAGCGCATATTTTGGTCATCAATAGCAAGTTCCATCATGATCATTTCCATTCCACATGATAACGTTTATAGCCAAGCTTCCTAGATTTGAACAATTATACAACTAATCTGCACAATTAACTTTAAGGCAACACAACCCTATTCATCTATCTTGAATTATACAAGCATACTGAACCACATCAAACCATACAATGAAAAGTCACAATTATACATAAATAAGCCAAAAGTGTCTATGAATACGGCAAGCTATAAGTAAGAGACTGGCAACAAGTTAGAAATATTAAGTTGTATAACAATAGTTAATACGCTAAATCAAAGATTATGATAAATGGAATAGATATAGATATAGTAGTCCAGATACTAAGCAATCATAAGTGGAACTATAATTTAAGGATGAACCAATCAGTTATAAGATAAAAGGTCTTGGATTTTCGCGCGAAATTCATTCAGCCAATTGACTAAATAGTGTTTTGGCATTTTAGCTGATGTCAGTTCATGATAAAAACCTTAAATCTAATTCCTAACGTTAATCATCAACTGTAAATCATAATTCGAATTCCTCATACACTGGTTGATAACCCTCATTTGGTACTAGTCATTAGGTAGAATTTCTTAAGGTCACTTTAGCGTCGTTCAAAGGTCGTCCATAAATTGTAGTCTCTCCTATTTAACTAATTAAACGGAGAGCATTTATGAGTAACAAATACATTCACTGTTAGAGATCACAATGGTATTAATGTTTAATGACAAACTCATCAATTAATGTAATCCATTAAAACTAGTTACAGTATTACCAAATATCATCACTTCTATAATTATTCGTATGGAGATATGTGAATATTGTGGTACTTTTTACAGTTGAAATCATTAATCGATCTAAGCTAGACCAGAATTAAAATCTTGTAATCACTGGACGGTCTAGTCTTGATCAACTCATGATTTGAACTATGAAATTACTACAATCTTCTCAAATCCCCATAGTGATAACAATCATCTTCTCACTAAGGATTAGCTTCAACATGTAACTTTTAAGATTACAAAATGACCCACTTTTTTTAAAATTCATAATACTTCTCATATAAAGTTTAATAGTTTAATTCATGAGTCAATCATGGAAAATCTGGAAGCACTGGACAGCCATTTCGTCGTAGTATAGAACACCTCGACAGTTCTCGTCCACGATTCTGAGACTCAGGATTCGAACCTCAGTCTTATACTAGAACGCTTAACCTTTAGACCGCTGATTTGTCATCCAATGGTGTTAATGTCTAACTTCAACTAATCCAGGAAATCGCTCCTTTGTCTACCATTGTCTTCAGTAAGTTACTATTTCACAACAGACCTGGCTGAACTCCATTGGTCACGGTTCATGAATTCTGAAATCTCCACAAACCCTCCTCTATTCTGATAATAATCAAATAAAGTAATATTTTTCTTTCTATTCATAACTAGGATGTTATTTATTGTGATATGCATGGACATAGTCGACGGAATAATATATTCATGTATGGTTGTGATCCATTATATAGACATTCTAAAATATTTAATAATACTAAGAAATCTTTACATGAAAGAATACTCCCATATATCATATCTCAACAGGTTAGTCTAATTCATGTATACTTAGATGTATCTTTTGTACATTTTACACTAATATCAATATTCAACTTTATTATGCGCCATATAAATCATTCGATTGGTATGAGGGCTGGGACACTATCCGGGTGCCTAAATCGAAGCAAGAGGTTTTCTTAGAGGACCCAAAGGTCTGGTTCACATGGCGGTTGGGCAATCACATCGTAGCCGGTGACTAACAATAGGTTCATACGCCATTTGGTTCATATCCCATTTGTTCCCTCAGGGTATTGAAGGCAGCCCATGTGAACCATTAGTTTGAAATCAGGGTTTTTCAACTCCCCTAGGTGGATCCTCCATATCCACGAACCCAGTTTAGGCGCCGGACATTCGCTTATTGTCCTTTCAATTTCGTAAACAGCAATAATGCTGCGAGGAGTCAGTGGTTGTATAGGCGTGGCCATATGAGAGCATTTGGAGAGCGAGAGCCGAATCTTCTCACCCTCGGCCGTGACAGGGCATTTGAGGGCATCAATATTCATCGGATCCATAAATAACGCAATGAAGTATGCATACACTGACAGATCATTGAGTAGTGTAATTTGTGATTCTGTGGATTGAATTCTGTCGATACAATTATAATGTGATTATAAATTTATGTAATTTAATATCCATTGTATTCGGTTGTTAAGTAGTTGGAGACTATTGATAGGAAGCTCATGACTTAGGTTTCATGTTTGTTAAGATTCATTAGTAAAGCGTACCTAAAATTTCGAGGGAAATGATACTTCCTATGGGATTGAGTCTAGGGTGACCTATTGTCATATTAAGAGATACTACCACTGAACTAGCTGAGACAAGACCTTCTATGGGATTAAACTATTTTAATAGACTGGTCATTAGATAGTAAATAATATCATGTTTTCTGAGTGCTTGAATTTGCAGATAATCTAACACTGAGAGCTGATCTACAGAATCTGATCATCATTATGGATTAGATCAACATGATATACTTTTACTACTCGGTGATCACTCAGTAAACTTTTCAGTTATCTTTCTAAACAAAATAATCAGGTTTGAAGTATAAATAATGGATTCTTGTGAATGATTAAAACTTAAATCTCTACAATCATAACTCTGGTTGAAATTGTGGACGATAGAACATCTGTATCTTTCATTTCGTCCATTGATGAATAGCTTAATTATCACTATGGGGATTGTGAAGATTTTAGTATTTTCAAAGTTGAATTCACGAGTCAATCTAAGCTAGGTCACCATCAAAAACTTGAATGTACCGGACGGCCGTTTTATCCTAGTATGGAACTCTTTAGTAGTGCGCATCCACGATCCCACACATGGAACTCAAACCCAAGACCTTCAGTATCGCACGCGAATGTTTAACCTTTAAACCGCTGAACCGGCACCCAACGGTGTTAATGTCTAGCTTCAATCAGTCCATGATCCTGCGCAAACCTTCATCCATCGCCGGAGTTGGATAACTGTCTCACACTCGACATCAACTGAACTCCATCGGTCACAGCTTCTCATTAGAACTCAAAGAAATCCATTTTGAAGATAATCACTAGTGAGCCTATGATTATTATTGTTCCTTTGTTTCCACACCAATCATTCACTATTCTCGTTCACTTTTTCTTCGATCTTCTTAACCTTCTGTTGCTAGACATTTCACTTTCGATTGACGGGTAATACATACTATTTATATCTTTCGAAATCAGTAGTACATACCACATTATACATTTAACATTCTTTTTTTTCAGGCCACTTCGTATTTTTCATTTCCAAATTGTCGATTCACTGTTCATCCAAGTAAAGAATCTACAAGTCGAGTGGTATTTTGGAGAGAATTTGAAGTGATCAATAGTTTCACATTAGAAGCAACATTTAATGGTTCAACTTTACAAAAGTTAGTTTTTGAAAGAAAAAATCAATACTTTTTCATTATTTTTCTGGTTTTGTTATTGTCTTCCATGACATAGTTTCGAAAGAAGTGCCTAATATGATTGAAGGTTAGTATAAGGTTATCAGTTCTATAGAGATTTATATCATTTGTAGGTAGATAGTGACTTACTTCAGGTTGTTTCTATAGTTTTAATGAGAATTCACAACTTGTAATGTTCAGATATGTCAATAATGAAACACTAACACCATTGGATGCCAGCTCAATGCTCCAGTAGGTTAAGTGTTCGCGCATGAGACTGAAAACCCTGGGTTTGAATCCCACGAACGGGATCGTAGATGCGCACTGCTGAGGAGTCCCTCAATAGGACGAACCGGAAGTCCAGTGCTTTCAGGTTACCAACGGTGGTCTAACATCAATCGACTCATGATCTCCATAAAAAAAATAATGAAACAGTTGTCACCAATAAAATTGAATGATCATCGAACTATATCATAAATTCATAGAAGTTGGGATTGTAATATGGTAAGCATCCCTCAAGTGATCTGATGGTTCTGAGTTTGATTCCTATTAAGTTCATGATTACCCATTTTTCTAAGGAGTTCCAAAAACAGGACAAAACAACTGTCTAGTACTTTATGGTTCTCAATGGTACAATGAATGAAATCACTCTGTGACTTACTGTTTCTTAGTTACAATCATATTAAGGGATATATAATTTCCTATCATATTCCTCAAGATAATCATAAGTGATAATGATAGAATATGTCTATCTATTAAACACTATCCTGGTTTATTGCCCCCAAATGCCCTGATATGGCCGAGAGTGTGGTGAGCCTGCCCTCCCACTCGAAATGCTCTCACACGGCCACGCGTATACAGCCTCTGTCAGGGAAGTCCTACTCACTGCTTCCTCGTGGCGGAGGTGTGGTTTACGAAAATGATAGGACGAAAAGCGAATGTCTGGCGCTTTAACCGGATCCCAAACCAATGGTGCACATGGGCTTCAGTATCCTAAGGAAACAAATAGCGTATGAACCAATCGTTGGTCACCGGCTACCATGGGAATGCATCTCCTCACGATGCTCCACTGCCTCGTGGATCAGACCTTTAGGTCAAAGGCTCGGGGTATGGCCCCCAAAGAAAACTACCTGCTTCGGTCTGGGCACCCGGGCAGTATCACAGCCCACACACACACAAATATGGTGTGGCGCATATATATTTGGTGTCCACTTGTACCAATATTTATGTATTCAAATAAATAATAAATAAATTCTGGTTTATTACATCTAAACTAATATTTTCAATAATTGATTTACAATTATTGATTAGTGTTATTATTATCGATTCACTGATTGTTCATGTTATGTAATAGTTCTCTCACTTTCTTTACTGTTACCAAATATTGTAATCTGGATCAGTATACACACATACATACATACACACACACATATACATACCTATGCCAAGTACAATATTGGTTATGATTAACTGCCAAATTTCTTTCTTTTCAGTAATAGTTTAATGAAATTTGAAGTGGACGATTTTATAAAAATGGGTGAACTATTAGGATATTCATTATATAAATTTTATGAAGTATTATGTAATCCATTGTAAGTAAATATTGAATTTGTATCAACTATTTATTGATCGGTTCAATGAATACATTGGATTAGGTACTTTCATTGTAGTGAGTAAATGTCACATTACTGAAGTGTACTTTTCATTGAATAGTTTAGTTCGTGTTTTGGAACTTATCTACAACTATCTTACATTCTTAACTGATTTACATCTGTTACTCCCAATGGAGCATAAGCCGCCGACCAGAAATTTCCGAACCACTCTGTCCTGGGCCTTTCTTTCTAGCTCTATCCAAATTTTGTTCATTTTTCTCATATCTGTCTCCATTTCTCGGTGTAATGTGTTCTTTGGTCTTCCTCTTCTCCGTTGGCCTTAAGGGTTCCAAGTGATGAGAGCTTACCTTGTGACGCTTCTTCCTGATTTCTTCCTCCGCCAGAATCTGGTTTGTTCTCTCCCATAGTAAGTTGTTGTTCATAGTGTCTGACTAACAGATCTGAAGTATTTTGCATAGACAACTGTTAATAAACACTTGTGTCTTCTGGATGATGACTTTTGGAGTTCTCCGAGTTTCCACTCTATACAGTAGAACTGTTTTGACATTTGTACTGAAAATTGTGACTTTGGTGTTGCTTGAGAGACAATTGTTTTGAGTTCCAGATGTTCTTCAATTATAAATATCCTACTCTTGTTTTGCCGATCCGCGCCTTCACATCTGCATCAGATCCATCGTGTTCATCAATGATACTACACAGATATGTAAAACTTTTTACATCCTCTAAAGCTTCTCCATCACGTGTGATTTGATTAGTGCATATCTACTCCTCCTGTAGCCTCCCTGGGGCTACTGCTGGTCCCGAGCGCGGATGAAGGAGGAGGGTCGGGCATGGGGTTAGAGACCTCATCCTGTAGAACACTAACTCGCTAAAATATGCTCATCAGAAAAAATAATTCAAATCATCTACAACTGTCTAGTATGCATATATTTAGTGTAGCGTGAATAAACACATTAAATTAAAAGAAAACAGACATATAAGACATTAAATGAAATCTCGAATGGAAATTACATTCTAATGTACAATGATTACTTGTTAAAGGAATACAAAGCAAACCTGAATTCCTGGATATGATATTCGTAGCTAAAACGGAACCGTTGCAGTTGATCTTTACTGTATTAACGATCTATTTTAATTAAACGGGTCACTATTTACAACTGATTGATCACTGGGTGGTGATCAATGTCATGTATGTTAGGTCGTTCTTAGTTTAGATTAAATCCTATCGACCAAGTTGTAATATGGTCACTAGTCTAGATGACTTGATATAGTGCATGCAATGTCAATGAATCAAATACTACGTTATTCGATCAATATTAATTTTAAATTATTTAAATCCATTGAAGCAGAATTACTGCTGTTATCCTTCGTAGAGCATAAGCTGCTGACCAATAATCTTTAACCTATTTTGTCCTAAACTGTGCTTCCCAGTTATTCTCGAGTGCTATTCATACTTTTAATGTCTGCTTTCTATTCGCAATGCAATATATGTAATTTGTACTTTTGTCTTGAAGATTCTAAGTTACGGTTTACTTTATGATACAGTTTAATAATTTCCGCAGTGTGTGCCCTATTCATCTCAAGAGTCTTCTCCTAATTACTTCTTCTTCTTCTTCTTCTGGAAGCTGGATTGTTCTTCGCCAAAGCAGGTTATTACTGATAGTGTTTGACTAATGGATCTGTAGTATTGAATAATTTTTTTCTGGTTAGCGCTTTGTTAGCGAATTAGTTTTCTACGGGATGGGGTCGCTAACCCATATCCAACCCACCTCCTTTATCCGGGCTCGATACCGGCAGTAACCCTAGAGTGGCTCCAGGCGGAGACATAACTATTAAAATAAATGGCGGAACTCTGTTGATTTTATTTCACGAATATTGAGTGATAAACATCATGAACTCTGGTTATGTCTATCACATAATATATTTATACATTTATTTTCAATGTATTAGAAAACTTAAAGAAACTCTAAAGAACTTAGCACAACAAACGCTTACCAATTTATGGATGACAAAAATTCCATTGACACCTGAAAATACAATATCTGAAGAACATAAAGGTAACATTTTGTGTAATCTATAAATTATATTCATAATTAAAGTATTGGGACCCCAAGCGTCCTGGTACGACCAAGAGTGGGAAGAGTTAGCTCTCCCTCTCCAAATGCTCTCATATGGCCACGCGTATACAACCACTGACAAGGGAGTCCTACTCACTGCCTTCTCGTGGTATTATTGTTGCTTACAAAATTTAGGGAATGGAAAGAGAATGTTCAACGCGTTAACTGGGTTCGTGGATATGGAGGATCTACTTTCAATTTTCCCATTGATGTTTTGAACTGCAATTGATCAGTCTATTATTGGCATATGTTCATCCTGTACGTATTGACTCGATCTTGCCTTAATTCACAAGCATTATAAGCAGAGATGGATAGTGGCTAGTAGTGGAATCCAGAATGCGCATTTCATTCTATTTGGGACTTTTCGGCTGGATTTACCTGCATCTCAGAGTTGATGTTCACTCTGGGACTCGAACCCATAACCGTTCGCTCCACTGCTACCCAAAATCCATCTTTGTTTATTATGCTCGTGAATTAAGGCTATATCGAGGCAATACGTACAGGATGAACATATGCCAATAATAGACTGATTAGTAGCAGTCCTAAACGTCAATGGGTAGATTCAAGTAAATAATAGCAAGTGAATTTAAACTTCACCCTATTGCACAAACCAGTGACTATCAGGACTCAGTAGCTAAGTAGGTAATCCGATGGTGTTTCAAGTGAACGGTGCTAGGTTCGAGTCCCAAAGTGAATATCAACTCTGATATGCAGGTACATCCAGCTGATGAGTCCCAAATAGTACGAAACGCACATCATGGATTCCACTTCTAGCCACTATCCATCTTTGCTTACAATGATCTGAAAAATCTCTAAATATTTTATTAATTATCAAGTTTACTACTCATGAGTAGTATAATCCATCCAATAACTATCTTTTCAAGCCATAAAACAATATTGTTACAGTTTTGAAATGAAAATTGGACAAGGATAACCAAAATAAAACGCAGTGATTTAAGTGAAATTGACATTCGATCATGTATTTTAATGGATTAATTGATAATCAAAAGATAACTGCTTCAAACTCAATTTAGCCAACAGTATTTTATTTATTTATTTGAACATATAAATATTGGTACAAAGGGGCACCAAATAAATATGCACCACAGAAATCATTCGATTTGTATGGGAGCTGGGATACTGCCCGGATGCCCAAATCGAAGCAAGTGGTTTTTATCGGGGGCCATAACTCGGAGTCTCCGACCTAAAGGTCTGATCCACAAGGCAGTGGAACAACGTGGGGAGATGCAGCCACATGGTAGTCGGTGACCAACGATTGGTTCATACGCCATTTTTTCACTCGGAATCCTGGATCTCATGCGTACCATTGATTTGGAATGAGGATTCTCCAACTCCCCTAGATTGATCCTCCGTTCCCGCCAACCCGGTTAAAGCGCCCGAGATTCTCTCTTCATCCTCTTTATTTCGTAAACAACAATAATACCACGAGAAGGCATTGAGTAGGATTTCTCTGTGAGTGGTTGTATACGCGTGGCCATGTGAAAGCATTTGGAGAGAGAGAGTTGACTTCCCCTACTCTCGGCGGCCTCAGGGCATTTGGTGTGATGTAGAAACTTAATTTAAAAAATTAAGTACACCGAGGACTTAGTTTGGTGGATCAGTAGCGGAATACTTAAAGGATTCGATTTTCGACAGTTTAGTGAAAGATTTGAATTTCACTTTTCCTACTTTAGTTCTAAGAATTTGTTGAGTATCATCAGTACATAAACGAAAAGCTGGACTACTGAAAGTGGAACACGCATTGTCCGTTGTTATTCATCGACGTAATTAAGACAACGAATTATCCTGAAGTATAGAAAATATCAGAAGGGGTTTTTGTGGAGATTATAGTAATTTTAATCACTATGATCATACGTCAATTGAAACTAGATCACCATGGATCACCATAGACCACCAATCTCGCGAGGCCGGATCGTGGATGCGCAATGTTGAGGAGTCCCATTACAATAAAGAAAATAGTTTAGAAACTCATATAATTCAATATTATTCCTAGATAAAATCAATATGCTATCCACAGAAGTAATTAATACGACGTTAGTATTCTTAAGAATTTATACTCATGTTTCATATTACTAATAAACTACTATAAAATGTACATTACCACTGAATCATGGAAGTTGCTGTATCTTGTGATCGTCGATTAGAGGTCAGTGAATTATCGATCGGACCAAGGATGCGTAAATCACGTGCGAGCAGCCTAGAATCCTGAATGGTTCTACTTTCCGCCTAGCCCAGCCAATTAAGTCCAGAATACCAGTCTCAGCCTCTGCAATATGAATCCTTATATTTCAAACATACTGAGTTTATATACCACTCAAACAGGCCACAACGTACCAATAGAATATGAAACAATATTTGTACTAGAATTGGCCAAATGTGGCTGTGAATGTGGGAGGCAGTGACTAATAGACAGGGCATAATTCAAGAATGGTAAAACGTACAATAATGGTTCATAGGTCAAAATAAAGTTTATAATAAGAGGGACATGAATATGAATAGTTTAGTTATTTAACAATTATACGATAAAAATCTACGTATAGTACTGGTCCATGAAAGGATCCCAAAGTTACCATTCATTATGTTTCTCGGGACCTAACAGAAGTCAAATTGTTTTAATATTTCACTTAATTTTTGTTAGAGAATAATCATTGAATGAGCGAGACTTGAATTGTTACAGGACTGTGTTCACTTAAGAACTGTGGATCAAAAAAGTATATAATTGAGAAACACTGCTGGTGAAATGTAATTATTTTCTTGATCAAAGTTTTAGTTTTCATATCTGCGTCTAGAGAAGATAACTAATTTAATTACGTATACCTGTTACTCCTCATGGTGGAGTATAGGCCACCCACCAGCACTCATCATTCAACTCTATCCTGACAAATACTATCCAGTTCCTTTCAGTCGCTATTCATCATTTTGATGTTTACTACACTACTCGACGTATTGTGTTCGTCGATCCTCCTCTTTGCCGCTTCCCTTCACGATTCCAAATCGACACTTTTCTCATGATTCAGTTCAATGATTTCCTCAATGTTTGTCCTGTCCACTTACAAAGTCTTTTCATAATTTCCTCTTCAAATGGAAACTGGTTTAACCTCTTCCACAGAAGCTGTTGTTGATGGTATCCAGTCAACGGACATTCAGTATCTTACGTAAACAACTGTGTATAAATACTTGTATCTTCTTGATGATGGTTGTATTAGTTCTGGAAGTTTCAACTCCGTACATTAGAACTAGCTGTTTTGACGTTCGTATTGAAGATTGTTACTTTGATATTGATTGACAGACAGTTGTTTTGACTTCCATTTGTTCTTCAACTGAAGGAATGATGTCCTTAGTTTTCCAATCTTTGGCTTTACTTCAGCATCGGATCCTCTTTACTCATCCATGATAGTTCCCAGATACGTGAGAGATTCTACATCTTCCAGTTTCTCCATCAAGTGTGAATATGTTGGTGTTTTCCGTGTTAAATTTGGAAGTGTTGCTTTTTCCTTTGTATCATGTCTTAAGTGGGTCTTTTCTCCATCTAAACATCGAAAACTCCATGAACCACAGTTTTTGATTAAAAATCAAATAAAATTCATCTTCAGTATAGATTTGTAGAGACCTCTAAGTTTTGATTGAGATCATGAAACGTTCAATATTAAACGACCATAAAAAATTTGGAACCACTGGAGGTTAAGCGTTCGCACGCGAGACTGAAATTTCCTGGTTCGAATCTCGCGTGCAAGTTGTGCATTGCTGAGGAATTCCACACTAGGACGAAACGGTAGTCTAATGCTTCCAGGTTTTCAATGGTGCTCTAACATTGATCGATTCATAATCTCAATCAGAATTCATCCTCTTGTATTTTATATGAATGGTCTCTTGAAGAGTATTTCATAAAAAAAATCTATCCTTTATAATTCAATGGTCTAGTGAGAGTACTATCGTATAACATTGCAATAGTCTGGAAGTTCCAAATTACTAATATACTACAATATATATAACTTTCAATCTTCCACTTACATCTTCCGGTATGTTCTACTATCTAAACTATCTTCTCATCTGATCTCCAAATGTGTTCTGCCAACGAAATACTTTCAATGCACTATAAACCTTTACAATAATTGCAACTTCAACGCGACGTTAAGATACACATCACTTACAAATATTCTTGTGATTAGCGTCCACTACACCATTTAATCATTTGAAAAGAATAGATTACAGTTCGAATCTTAATGTCATCACTGGCGAATGAACTCAGATAAATTCAAATAACGAATATTTACTTACTTACTTGTGAATAATCATCGATTATCAAGGAGGATCCGATGCAAACCTAAAAGTCACGATTGGCAAATCAACGGTGGCATTCCTACGGAGTTGAAGCTTCCAGAACTAATACAACCATCATCAAGAAGATACAAGTATTTATACACAGTTGTTTACGTAAGATACTGAATGTCCGTTGACTGGATACCATCAACAACAGCTTCTGTGGAAGAGGTTAAACCAGTTTCCATTTGAAGAGGAAATTATGAAAAGACTTTGTAAGTGGACAGGACAAACATTGAGGAAATCATTGAACTGAATCATGAGAAAAGTGTCGATTTGGAATCGTGAAGGGAAGCGGCAAAGAGGAGGATCGACGAACACAATACGTCGAGTAGTGTAGTAAACATCAAAATGATGAATAGCGACTGAAAGGAACTGGATAGTATTTGTCAGGATAGAGTTGAATGATGAGTGCTGGTGGGTGGCCTAGACTCCTCCACGAGCAGTAACAGACATATGCTATATATATATATATATACATCTGAATAATACATTTTAATATCGGAATTTCGTTGTATATAACAGATTCAATTATCCATAAAAAACCTGTCCATAATGATACCTTCTTCTTCTTTTTCTTCTACTTCTACTTCTTCTATATTATGAACAAGATAATCTATCAATCCTCAATAAGAAACCATATGATTTTATCAAATCACAATTATATACTACTAATAAGCAATTCTTTCAGTCAACTATTAATAATCATAATAATAATAATGATTCAATATTAAATTATTCATTAAATGATCCCGATCAAATTGATGGTGATCAAATCAATAATGATCAAATGAATGATTCGTTGGAACAATTAGCTAAAGCAATACATGTATTAGAAAAATCAATAGAATTACATAATATTGAATTGAATGAAAATGAATTATGTAATACAAATGATAATGATATAAGTTGGTAAGTTTGAAAATAATTTATGTTAACTATACAAATCCACGATCTTTCCTCATGTAGGATTCGAACTTAGGACTTATCAGTCTTGTGAGAAAAGTGCTTCATCATTAGATCATTGAATTTTACAGTAAGATGAAATAGCCATCCAGTGATTCCAGGTATTCCATGGTGATATCTAGCTTCAATTGACTCATGATCTTAACTATTAAAATTACTATAATATTCATAAAACCCTTTTTGATAATAATTATGTTAACAATCTCAGTAAATGAACTCTGCCTGTAGGTCTTCTAGAGTTACTGCTCATTCCATGCTTGGGTAAAGAAGGAGGTTTAAGCATGAAAATGCTGACCAGATTAAACTAATTAATCTTAGTCAAGATAAAACTAGAATAGGTGGTCTACTTGAATATCTGACCTACTTGTTGCTGTCATCTAGATATTATCTGTTTTCTTTTTTGTTCGAACGCATGATTATGCCTATTAGTCTCATGACCTATTCAGGTGTGTTTACGAAATGTTTACAACCTATCACTGTACTGTTATATCCTAGAGAAGATTAAACTACGAGAAACTTCTGAGAAGTATTCATGGACCGATGTTATACACATATTGTTATTGTATAACTATTCAGTAATTAGATTGTGTATGTCTATATTCCTCTTAGTATAAGCTTCATTTTGACTTAAAGATTATTATTATTGTGCGGTTTACTGTTCTTAAGTTATGCTCAGTCTATTAATTACAGTCTCCTACGTCTGCAACCACTTTTTGGCTTGATCTTGTATAGACGTTGTTTCCTATTTTATGATGTGATACGGTCTGTTTGGCTGGTATATAAACCAAGTATGTTTGAAATAAATGATTCGCATAGTGTAAGCTGTTATTGACGCTCTAGACTTAGTTGGACGGACTAAGGGAACAAAGGACCAATAAAGTAGGTAGGCTGGTTATACCGGCCGAATGTCATTGGTTTGACACAGTGTTGAGATTGTATAAGCCGTATTTTTGATCAACGGATAAATCACGTGATAACTAACCGGGCTTAAAGTCACAACAAATTAGCGATGGGGATTTCGCAAAAAAATTAACAGAATGTACAAGTTACAAAAATGTACAATCGAAGACATCGTGATGGTTGACAGTATGCATTGAAAAGAATATATACATTAATCAGATGTCAATTTCTGAACGGCCAATCGATCAATATTGATCGTCAGGATCAATCAACAAGTGAGAAACGGAAACTTGCTGTAATACTTTGTACTGAGAATTCTATATTGTACCAATAACCTAATAAAGCTAATATTAATTGAGCCTTTAGAAAATCAGTGTCACAATTCCATTATAAGCTATGTGTTTTTTTTTAAAAAATTTCTTATTCGAAATCTAATTAGCAGTGAAATCCAGGATGCGTGTTTCGTCCTATTCGGGACCCGTCAGTCGCATATATCTGCATTTCAGAGTTGATGTTCACTATGAAACTCGAACCCAACACCGTTCGCTTCAAACGCCATCGCGTTATCCACTTAGTTACTGAGTCCCAAAAACTGATTAATACTACTTTCAAAACATGGGGGTTTTACAATATCGTGGATTAATTACAATTTGATATTAGCACTGTTCAATACCTGCTCAGTGGTCTGGAGGTTTGATGTTCATGGGATCGTGGTCCCATCTTAAGACGAAACGACATTCGAATGCTCCTATCTTTACAATGATAGTCTAGCTAAGATTAATCTATGATTTAATCCTTCAAAACATATTTTCAATAGGTGTTTGTGAAGATCGATAATACATGGGGAAATATTATGTGATAAAGTACTCTGAATAACTGTACAAGACTAAATAGAAATGTTAAAGCTACGAAGTATTTTAATGGTATAATGTTGGTAGATGGATCATTGGACTGTTGTTCACTTATTTCAATCTAGGGAGTCAATCATTTTCACAAACCTTCACTCAGGAACTATATTTCATAGATGACTTTGAAAGCTTCTAAAAGTGACTTTGGATCATCTCTTCCAGTTATTACGTAATCAGAAAAGATGCAAAACATTAAAATACAAATAAACTTTCATCACAATTATGGAATCTCATGATACGATTAAGAGTTAAGGTTAGGAGTTTAAGGTTAGGTATCATCATTATAAGTAAAGATAATAATGAATGAATATCTACTGAATTATTTCTTTGATTATATATATCAAACATGTTTAATATACCGGTATACGGGTTGTGGAGATTATTAAGTTTTTGAACCGATCGATGTTAGACCACCATTGAAAATCTGGAAGCACTGGATGGCCGTTTCGTCCTATTGTGGGACTCCTCAGCAGTGCGCATCTTTGACAAGCTTATAAATTATGTTATAATATTTGTTCGTAACGAAAACCTACTCAGTTCCTTATGGTTAGTGTTATGATTACTAGGTGAATATTCCTGAAGAGTTCCATAATAGGACGAAACAAACATCCAGTGATTTCAGGTTTTCCATAGTGATCTAGCCTTATTTAACTCATAAATTCAACTATTAAATTACTATAATATACATAAAAACACCTAATTGACTACTTATATTTATTATTTAGCTTGATCATATTTATCGATTTCAAGAGTTTATGTAATTAAATATTGTTAAATTTTATTTTCAATGGTTAAGATCATGAGTCAGTTGAAGCTAGACCACCATGGAAAACCTGGAAGCACTGGACGGCCGTTTCGTCCTATTGTGGGACTCCTCAGCAGTGCGCATCCACGATCCCGCACCACACGGGGCTCAAACCCAGGACCTACTGGCTTCGCGCGCGAGCACTTAACCATTAGACCACTGAGCCGGCATCCAACGGTGTTAATGTCTAACTTCAACCAATCCACGAAGTTGCGCTACCGTACACCATTGTCTTCAGTGAGTTACTACCTCACAACAGACCTGGTTGAACTCCACTGGTCACTACTTCTCACTAGAACTCCAGGATATACCTCGTGAAGCCAATCTCCACAAAAACCCATCTGATATTAAATTTTATTTTGTTTCCAATTTCGTATTAACTATTCCTTTCTCCGTATTGAATTTCGCTATGAAATTCAAAAAAAGAAACCACTATCTTAAATCTGATTGATTCGTTGGTTTAGTATAGTTCACTTATAAATGTTCTGATACGGTCGAAAGTGGAGAGAATTAGCTATCCCTCTCCAAATGCTCTCATATGGCTACATGTATACAACCATTGACACTGGAGTCCTACTCATTGACTTCTTACGGCGTTATTGTTGTTTACGAAATTAAGAGGGTGAAAAACGAATGTCTGGCGCATTAACTAGGTTAGTGGATATGGAGGATTCATCTAGGGTAGTTAGAAAACCCTCATTCCAAACCAATAATGCACATAGGCTTCAGGATCCTGGAGGAACAAATGGTGTACTAACCAATTATCGTTCATGTGGTTGCACCTCCTGACACTACTCCACTGCTTTGTGAATCAGATCTTTAGGTTGAAGACTCCGGGTATGACCCCCTAAGAAGATCATCTGCCTCGCTTTGGACAGTGTGGTGAATGAGAACAGAAGAGGTACAACCGATTGTATACTAGAATGAAACGGTTGTTCAATGCTTCCAGGTTTATAATGCTAGTCTAACATCAATTAATTTATGATCTAAATCAAATGCCGTTAATTGTTTTTTTTCACCTTACTTCGATGATTCTTCACCAGTTCAAATCTATGACTCTGAATGAATCTAATAAATAATCTTAAGATATCGAATTGTAGATGGATAGATTTTCATTTTTCATCCTCAGTTTATCTGTGAAATATCGCAACCAAAAGCATAAGTTTATTATTGAGTAGTAACCGATTATACGTTTGTCTAATCCTTAGTATTCTGTTGATTAAAATGCTTTGTGGTTACTAGTCTAGGTGATTAGATATCTCTGTGCAGTGTATTTTATACAACACATGTCGAGATAAACATCAGGACTCTTTTAACCTAGTTTCCATGTCAGTTGGAACTTGTCAGTCAGCTGTGTTTACAATCTGAACAGAACTGATGATCTCCGTAGGATTAGGACTCGCTACATCTAGTGATACATTCACAGGTATTATCACTCAGTCATATAGGTTCCTCGATTTTATCGGTATTATTATTTGTTAATAGTTGATATCATTGCATACGTGATAACCATTAAATGTTTACAGTTAAAAATTAAAAACATTTATTTCTGGATTGATGTAATTAGTAGGATATTTACTTACGCCTATTACTCCTCGTGGAGAAGTATAGACCACCCACCAACACTCGCTATACAACTCTGTCCCAATCAAATATTTTCACTTCTTTCCACTCGCCATTCATCCTTTTCATATCTGCTTCCAATGCTCAACGCAATGTGTTCTTCGGTCTTCCCCTTCTCCGTTTCCATTCACGATTTCAAGTTAGGGCTTGCCTCGTGATGCAGTTTGATGATTTCCTCAATGTATGTGCTATCCACTTACAACGTCTTTCCATAATTTCCTCTTTAAATGGAAACTGGTTTAACCTCTTCCACAGTAGACTGTTGTTGATGGTATCCGGCAAATGGATGTTGAGTATGTTGCGTAGACAATTGTTTACAAAGACATGTACCTTCTTGATGATGATTGTAGTAGTTCTGGAAGTTTCAACTCCGTACAGTGTAACTAGATGTCTTGACGTTCGTATTGAAGATTGTTACTTTGATATTGATTGACAGACAGTTGTTTTGACTTCCATTTGTTCTTCAACTGTAGGAATGCCACCATTGCTTTGCCAATCGTCACTTTTAAGTCTGCATCCGATCCTTCTTGTTTGTCAATGATGCTTCCCAGGTACATGAAAGTTTCTACATCTTCTAGAGTTTCACCATGAAGATTGATTAATTTGCTTTGAAAATCTTACTTTTTCCCTTGTGTATGTTGTGGCCCAAGTTGCTGCTACACTAGTTGTCTTCATCTGCATTTGTTCATATGTATAGGATAGAAGAGCCAGGTCGTCTGCGAATTCCAAATCTTCTAATTGATTTCGAGCTCTCCATTGCATTCCATGCTTTCCCTCAGATATCAAGGTTTTCAGAATCCAGTCGATAACTAGAAAATACAAGAAGAGAAAAAGTAGACGTCCATATCTGACATTAATCCTTTATATTATTAGGATGGATGTTTTTTTTTCTTGATATTTTGACAACTACTTTGTTCCATCAATGAACCTTAAATAGTTCATGTAACCAACTAATTATCCCCTTGAATGAGATGATTATTATTTTCCATTTTCCTTTTCAATTTAGTACTTCAGATTCAAATTCAGATAGTGAACCAGAAATGACAATCACTGATCAAAATTCATTAAATCAATATTACAATTTACGTGGTGATCTTATTTTAACTAATCAAATACAAACTATCCTATCAGATCAGTCAAAACAATTGAAACAGTCTAATAATACTGATCATGACATCACAAGATCATATAAATTGAAGAAAAGAAAAAAGAACAAGAAAAAGAAATTACAAACACTTCATGATCGTCATCTTCGTCATCGTCATCATCCTCGTCATCATCATTATCATCAATTCTCTTCTATACAAAAACAATCATACAAAAATATTTCATCGAATCAAAGTCAAAACAATGATAATTCTACTATTCATTCAAAACAATTATCATCTAATTCAACTTCATTATCACCACCACTACCGCCATCATCCTCATCAACATCATCGTCATCATCACCTATAGAAGGAAAAGGTACATTATCTGAACAGGTAAATTATAATAAAAGATAGTCATAATTTAACTTCAAAGAATAATTTGTCTAATATTATACATAAGTTGTTATGTTTATTCAATGTATTATATCATTACGATGGTTAATTATAGTCATGAGGACTAATTTATTGATCGGTTTTCTTCTGTTGATAAATGTACTTGTATGTATGTATGTATGTATGTGAGTGTTTTTGTGTGTGTGGGGGTGAGTGGGTGAGTGAGTGGGTAGTTGGTTGCATGGGTATGTAATATGTTGTCTAGTTACTATTATCAATAGTTTAGTCAAGATTAATTAAACTGATTCCAAATTGTATGTTCACCTGAGAAACAAAAAGAAATTATTATTATTATTATTTAATTAGAACACATATATAACCATAATTAGACGACCCATGCAGGAACATATTTATAATATGAATCAACATATGCTCAATAGTGACTGGCTTTATGTGAAAAGCAGTGACCAGTGGAGTTCAAACGGGTCTGTTGTGAGATAGTAACTCACTGATGACAATGGTGGATGTATCGCTCGATTTCGTGGATTGGTTGAAGTTAGACATTAACATCGTTGGGTGCCGACCGGTTGAGTGGTCTAGAGGTTAAGTGTTCACGTGAGAGACAGAAAGTTCTAAGTTCGAATCTCGTGAGGCGGGATCGTGGTTGCGTACTGCCGCTGAGGAATCCCACAATAGGACGAAACGGCCGTCCAGTGATTCCAGGTTTTCCGTGGTGGTCTAGCTTCAACTGACTCATGATCTAAAATAATAGAATTACTACAATCTCCAAAAAACCCCTTATGATACTTAACCATAGACAATGAAAGTGAAGAGTGAATGAGGTATGGACAATCCTCACTATAATTATATAAGTCTCCAATAGTATTTTAGTCAATCCACGAAAGGTTTTGGTTCATTGGCGTCTCTGAGCAACACTCACGTTGTTGAAAAGTTATGAAAACCGAAATGTACTTTATTAACGAGTTGCTATAGTCTGAATAGGTTGTTTTATTTTATATTTTTGTCTTAAAGAGACTTAAAACTTAAGATCAAAGGTAAGATGAAGAATGAATACATTTAGGCAATTGTCACCGATTCTATGTCATGTTACTTACCGCTTCTAACCAGGTGGTCTAAACCTAACGATATAAGTCAGTCTAATATTTAATCGCTTCATGAACTGATTACACATCTTAATTTGTCCATCCTTGATAGTCTTTCAAAATCCCTTTAAAACAACCAATGTCGCACTTCTTGATAGTTATAAATAAGTATATTTGATAATTTTACATAAAGAGATACTCACCTAAAATCTTATACGAAACCGAACTAGCGGAACTTCAAGTTTCCTGATGAGCCAAAGAATCCTAATCCAACAGTCCATGGTTACAATTTCAAATAAATTATGATCATATATTTTGATGGAGTTTTGTTCTTCGAGTTGGATGATTTGATCTTCATTTAGAAGACTTCTATCTGAAGTTTGTGCTGATGATATCGTTCAAAAGAACAATGAAAGTTCCACGACTAAACGATCCAGCTCAAAGAACAAAACTTCATCAAAATCATCTACCTCAGCTACAAATCTTCTCCACTATCTTATGATCACATGAACATACTATAGATTTCATCAGTTAACTAATCAAGAACATCAGTATCTAGATAATTCAGATTTGATTGATATAAAGACAAGGATGGATTGGAGAAGATTTTTGTATAGTTTAAGGTAGATTGATCATTTTTATAAGAACCTATTTCATCCAATAGTCCATTCGAATTCATTCAGATCACGTCACAATTATTGATTCTTTTTTTTCTTTTTAAACACTGATAATCATTTTGAACTTTGATACTGTCGACGATGGTCAGAACTAAGTACTTTATTGAATTACTCATAAATAATTTAATAGTTGAATCCATGAAACAATTAAACCTAGACCACCATAGAAAGCCTGGAATCACTGAACGGCCGTTTCATCCTAGTATGGAACTCCTAGACAGTGCGCATCCACAATCCCAATTGCGGGACTCGAGCTTCATCTAATGAATTCATAACTATCAGAAGGGGGATTTTGTGGAGAGTTTAATAACTTTAATAGTTGAATCCATGAGTCAATTAAAGGTATATCACCATGAAAAACCTAGAAGCACTGGAACGGCCGTTTCGTCCTAGTATGGGACTTTTCATAAATAATTGCTAGACATGTTGCCAAAATAACAGACTATTCATACATCATTTCAATTCAACTCTTAATGACATTTGGATTATTGTTGTTCTGATAAATAGGGCATCTATGACCATTAATTTTAAATTAGAGCACAAGTCAATCCTACTTACTTACTTACTTACGCCTGTTGCTCCTCGTAGAGGAGCATAGACCACCCACCAACACTCGCTATACAACTCTGTCCCAATCAATTATTTTCACTTCCTTCCACTCGCCATTCATCCTTTTCATATCTGCTTCCAATGCTCAACGCAATGCGTTCTTCGGTCTTCCCCTTCTCCGTTTCCATTCACGATTTCAAGCTACGGCTTACCGTACAACAGGACTAGCTGTCTTGACGTTCGTATCGAAGATTGTTACTTTGATACTATTATTATTATTATCATCATCAGCTTTACTCAATATTATATTTTTGGTACAATATAGAATTCTCAGCGCAAAGTATTTCAACAAGTTTCCGTTCCTTTCTTCTTGGTCGGTCCTGGCGATAAATATTGAGTGATCGCCAGTTAGATGTTAGCAGTCCAGTAAATGAACATCTGAATAATGTGCATTCTTTCAGTTGTATATTGCCACCAACCACATTGTCTCTTATTGAGCTTTTTGTAACTTTGACAACAAAAGGTTGTACACTCTTCAGAAACGCAGCAGAATAGGTTATGCGATTAATAAACATAATGATATATTAAAACAAACAAAAACAGATAACTTGTTGAAATATCTAGATGGCAGGAACAGGTAGCCCAGACGCTCAAGCAGGCCGCCCTTTATACTAGTTGATGAACAGTTGCTTTTATTTCCATATGTTCTTCAATTCAGTCTAATTAACGTTATATTTATGTATGCCTTTTCTATACATTAGAATCATAAAGAAAGACTAAGTAGAAGGTTATATTATCTTAATAAATATACTGGACAATCAAATCATGGTATACCATGTTTTGTTGAGAAAAGATTATTTCATCGTTCATGTCAGGTAGGTCTCTGTATAGTATGTAGTCAATGTCTAGTTTAAAACGTAGACATTGAATATTTTTTTTCATTTTTTTGTCTGAAAATGTTAATGCATTATTACAACCGGGTCTGTTGTGAGATGGTAACTCACTAAAGACAATGGTGGACTGTGACTCAATTTCGTGGATTGGTTGAAGTTAGACATTAACATCGCTGAGCGCCAATCGGTTCAGTGGTCTAGATGTTAAGGGTTCGCGCGCGAGACTGATAGATCTCGTAAGGCGTGATTGTGGATGTGCACTGCCACTGAGGAATCCTACAATAAGTCGAAAAGGCCGTCCAGTGATTCCAGGTTTTCCGTGATTGTCTAGCTTTAGTTGGCTCATGAATCCAACTACTAAAAATTGATTAAAAATAGTTATGTAAAAAGAAATTCGATAGGCTATAGATTTTATCTCAAAGCGGTGAACGGATTTGGTTATCTATCACAGCAACTAAGTTGAACTACACTAGTTGAAACACTTTTATATTTATCATATCAAATACGTTGGTTGGATAACAGTAAAATTAAACACATAGGATGTCTAAGATTTGAGTCTTATCGTTGGCTTCATTGAGTTGAGAACGTCTGGCTACCCCTTGTGTCCAATTATCGTTGTCTCTAAAAGACTAGTAGTATCCAGTGGCAATCACATGTTACCAAGACCTAAGTTCAGGGACATATGTTCAGGCATAGTAACAATGATTCAGTTTATATCACCATCTTGAAGCACATGTTTTGGTGGTTTGGTCACTTTTAACAAATTTTATTGGAGCTCCTTTTATATTAGGGACTAGTTTTTAACTTTAGGATTGAGTGAAAAAAGCTGAAAGATTATCTGCAGCAACTTGCAACTTGGAAGACTCTCGCGGTCTCCCATATTGTATGAGCATTTCATGTACCTAAATTAATGGTTCCTCTGGTTTTCAGAAGGGGCATCAGCCTTGTGACTTCCGAAGGAACTCGGCTTTCACCATGAGGCGTCATAACTCTTCTAAATGAAGACCTTCTACCTCCCAAGGCAGAATTTAAATGGTTTGAATTTTTTTTCTGGTTAGTGTCATTTAGCGAGTTAGTTTTCTACGGGATGGGGTCGCTAACCCCATTCCCAACCCTCCTCCTTTATCTGGGCTTGGGAATGGGAGTAGCCCCAGAGGGGCTCTAGGCGGAGTTGAGAGGTGGTCAGTTTATGACATACCTTAGTGATATAAAAGGAATTTGTCTAAAGCTGGCACCAGTTGGTTATTCAAAGTTCCCTAGTTGGGGTCCCAGATAAGGGACAACTCAGTAGCTTTCGGCTTCATCGATCAATTGCTTCTGATTCACTGAAACTCTTCACTCTCTTTGATAATTGTTATAACTTCAATGCAACGTTCCGCTATATACTACTTACAAAGAATCTTGTGAGTAGCATCCACTGTAGTAATATACAATAACATTTCATTTTATCCTTGTTTTATACACAAAAAATTGAAATCATTACAACATTCAACAATGTTTTTTTTAATTTAACAGCGAATTCGTACAGTTTGGGAAAATATCGACTTGACTAATGCGCAAACAATACATGCTCAACGAGTAAGGAACATTTGAGGAATTTTTTATTTTACTGCTATTTACACTATCATTGTACTCGTAATATTCACAGTTATATGAATATATATATATAACTTCGCCTGGAACCCCTCTGGTGCTGCCTTCGGTCACAAGCCCGGGTAAAGGAGGAGGGTTGGGCACGGGGTTAGCGACCCCGTCCCGTAGAAAACGAACTCCCCAGAAAACGCTAACGATAAATAATAATCCAAACCATATATGTATAATCCAAAATATGTAAATGGTAATCACTCAAATGATAAACTCATCTTGAGGCTTATCTTTGATTTTATGTGTATAGATTTAAATGAAATTAAAAATAAAGTACTTACAATGATGGCGTTGGTTGATGATCATAGGATAATGATTACAAATTAATTGAAGTTAAAATGATGAAGTATTGAATTATAGTTGTAAAACGATGGAGGATATTTATAGCTCACAAAGATGATTTTGGCAGAGTTGCTTTCTCTAAGCTGAGTGATCTAATCACAATGCTTTCTTTGTCTTTTGAGATAAAATGATTAGCGCAAACTTCAGATCGAGTTGAACTTTATCTTGAATTCCTGCTCAGTAGTCAGAAGGTAATGTTATTGCCATAATCAGATCTCAAATTATTGGCAGAGATGGATGGTGGCTAGTGGTGGAATCGAAGATGCGCATTTTTTTCTTTTTTGGGACTCATCAGATAGATGTACTTGCATACCGGAGTCGATTTCCACTCCGGGACTCGAGCCCAGTACTGTTCGCTTCAAAAGCCATCACGCAACCCAGTTAGCTACTGAGTTCAGATAACCACTAGTTTGTATAATCGGTTGGAGTTTAATTCACTTTTGTATGGGTTGTTTTATTCTTTGATTGACGTTCAGGATATGTTCATCCTGTTCGAATTCCCTTGATATTATCTTGAGCCCAGCTGAGGAGTCCCAAATAGGACATACTGGATTCCACTGCTAGCCACCATCCATCTCTGCTTATAAAGCTTGTGATTTAAGGCAATGTCGAAGTAATCCGCACACGATATACATATGCCGATAAGAGATCGATCAGTTACAGTCCCAAGACATCAATCAAAAAGTCAAACAACTCAAATTATTGGTTTAAATAACATTATGAGAATATTAGTTAACTAGTTCATTTATTTATCGAATCGCAAGTTTATACATCTACATTTCAACCAGAATATCTTTATTTAAAGATTAATGGTATTAAATAGGTACCCAAACCAAAGTAGATAGACCAAACAAGAGACTTCTACTCATTAGTTAAATCCATGTAATCACTGAATCATCGCTCAATTGATACACATTAACGAATAACTTAAAAATAAAAACAAATCGGTTGTTCAATATTCTGTAGTATACAATTTCTCACCATTTATTACCAATTCATGATGAAAATCATTGAACAGAATGGGGATTTGTGGATATTAAAGTAATTTAATAGTTGAATTCATGAGTCGATCTGAGCTAGGCCATCATCAAAAACCTAGAAATGTTGAGCAGCTGTTTCATTCTAGCATGTAGCTCCTCAGCAGTGCTCATCCACGATCCTGCACGTAGGACTCGAACCCAAGACGCGCTCACGAACGCTTAACTTCAAGACCACTGAGCCGGCATCCAATCTCCACAAACCCCCATTATGATAATTATCATGTCCTCACTGGTCACTAGCTTCGAGAGGTCATTCTCAAAGTTTTTGTGAGAAACAGTGAACAGTGGAGTCCAATCTGTGTCTAGTGTGAGACAGTTATCCACCTCAGGTAATGGATGAAGGGTTTTGCAGAATCATGGACCGATTGAAGTTAGACATTAACACCGTCTGATGCCGACTGAGTTGTCTAAAGGTTAGGCGTTCGCACGCGAGCTCGAAGATCTTGGGTTCGAGTTCCATATGCGAGATCGTGGATGAGGATTTCCATACTAGGTCAAGATAGCCGTTCAGTGTTTCTAGGTTTTCAATGGTGGTTTAGTTTAAATCGACCCAAGATTTCAACTGTTAAAATTATTTAACTTCAAATTTACAAATCTTCATGCTAATAAAAAATGTTCATAACAATTACAATGATTCCTTTCTATCCCAATGTAACTATTTATTTATTTATTTGAACATATAATTATTGGTACTAGGGGGCATCGAATACATATGCGCCACACAAGTCAATTGATTTGTGTGTGGGCTACGATATTGCCCAGTTACCCAGATCGAAGCAGGTGGATTTCTTAGAGGGGGGCCACACCTGGAGCCTTCAACCTAAAGGTCTGATCCACAAGATAGTGGAGCAACGTGTGGAGATGCAGTCACATGGTAGTTGGTGACCAACGAATGGTTCATACGCCATTTGTTCACTCAGGATCCTGGAACCCATACGCACCAATGGTTTGGGATGAGGGTTTTCTAATTCCCCTAGATGGATCCTTCATATCCATCAACCCGGTTAAAGAACCGGATATTGGCTTATCGACCTCTCAATTTCGTAAACAACAATAATGCCACGAGAAGTCAATGAGTAGAACTCCGCTGTCAGTGGTTATATTCACGTATCTACATGAGAGCATTTGGAGAGGGAGAGTTGACTTTCCCTACCCTCAACCGTACCAGGGCATATCGATTGTAGCAATGAAAATGAATTAATTAAAAAGTATTTTATAATTTCACATAAAAGATAGTTGAAAACATAGAGCTGAATAAAGATCAGGCTTAAATTGATTGTAATTAATTTAATAATAAGTCACATCTTGGTGTTACCTTTTCCTCTGATCTCTCTTGGTCTTCTCACATTTTATCGTTATCGAAGAAACTTTTCCGTCTGACTTACTACATAAAGAGATTGCATGCTTTTGGGATTACTCGTCATTTACTCTTATAATTTGTCAATTCTTGCATATTACCTATTATTCTTTACTGTTCTCCATTATTCTTTCCCGGGGCTTTTGATAAAAGATTTTGCTGTATTGCGTGGAGTGCTGAAGGCAGTTAGCAAGATGTGTGGTGAATCTTTCGAGGTCATAATTAATATGGTTGTGGATACACATCTAAAGTCATGCAAACTCCTGACAGGTGTTATTTTATCAGATACTAGCCATCTCCTTCACTCTTATCTTTCTCCTTGTTTATCTTCTTCTGGTAGAACGAGACGTAATTACATTAAAATCTATGCACGCAAATAAAAGTATAAAAGTTCTATAATACCTTACCTAGTAAATATACTCTGCGACGAACAGGTTGTTATAGTTAACCTAGTCAATAATCTGCATTCTTAACATGTCTCTAATTTGAAAAGTTGTACAGATCCAGATCTTTCTTTTTCACCTTTTTTCTTTCCTTTTTTTGCTTTTTGTGTTTTGTAAAAGAAACTTGTTGAAATACCTCCGGCTTAGAATTCCATATTGTACCAAGGATATGATATTGAATAGAGCCATTAATAATAATAATAATAATAATAATAATAAACCGTTATAATTATGTACAACAGTCTATTAAACTTATTTCTATCACTAATTACATTCACATTTCAATGTTAATGAGACTTGAATCAATTTAGAATAGATATGTAATAACAACATTCAATTGACTAGTGTCTAATAAGATATAACAGATATCTTAAATTTGATTATTGGCCAGTAGCCTAAAAATAATGTAGATTTGTAATGAGAGATTATATTATGGTAATTCTATTTACTAAAAGTGATCAATCAAATTTAATAGTAAATATTAACAACAGAGAAAGAACACTCCTATATAATAATAATAATAATAATACCCCGGGAAATGGAGATAGACATAACAAGAATGAGTAACAATTGGATAGAACTAGAAAAGAACGCTTAGGACAGTGTTGGTTAGAGCATACTGGCGTAAGTACAGGCTTAAGGAAGTACTTACTTACGCCTGTCACTCCTATAGAGCATAGACCACCGACCAGTATTCTCCAACCCACTCTGTCCTGAGCCTTCTTTTCTCCGCCTGGAGTCCCTCCGGGGGCTACTGCCGGTCCAAAGCCCGGATAAAGGAGGAGAGTTGGGAATGGGGTTAGCGATTCCATCCCGTAGAAAACTAACTCGCTAAAAAGACGCTAACCAGAAAAAAACGCGTAAGTATATATATACAATAATTTATTGATTTTGTTTATAATTACATTTGAACAGTAACAAATGATTCATATTTATTTCTATTAACTTTAATTTCAGAAATTTGTGGAACGATTTATAAACAATGTAAGTTTGAAAAATAAATTAGAGCATTATGGAAAACCTGAAAGTATATACTCACTAGTGACTGGCTTCATGTAAGAAGCAGTGACTAGTGGATTTCAAACGGGTCTGTTGTGAGATAGTAGCTTACTGGAGACAACGGTGGATGTGTCACTCAATTTCGTGGATTGATTGAAATTAGACATTAACATCGTTGGATAACGGCCAGCTTAATGATCTATAAATTAGGCGTTCACACGCAAGACTGATAGGTCCTGTGTTCAAATCTCGTGAAGTGGAATTGTGAATGTACACCGCTGAGGAATCCCACAATAGGACGAAACGACCGTTCCGTTACTTCCAGGTTTTCCATAATGGTCTAGTTTCAATTGACTCATGAATTCAACTATTAAAATTACTATAATATCCACAAAAAACTACATTCTATTTTTTTTAGTGTTTTATGAGTAATATTAAGGACTAATCTTAATAAACATAAATTAAAAATCGGCATTCATTAAATAGTTATTTGTCTTAATGTGAAACTTCTCATCAGTCAATATCCATGATTTCATAGAAAATGGAACACAAGGTCTTTGAGATTCTCAATGATTGTTTAATTTATAGATCATTACTGAGATGATTTCATCATTATCAGAAAGGCTTTTGTGGATATTATAGTAATTTCAATAATTGAAATCATAAGTCAATTGAAGTTAGACCAACATGGAAAACCTGGAAGCACTGGACTGCCGTTTCGTCCTAATATGGGACTCCTCAGCGGTCTAATAGTTAAGCGCTCGCGTGCGAGACTGATAGGTCCTGGGTTCGAATCCCGCAGGGGATGTGATCGTGGATGCGCACTGCTGAAGAGTCCCATGCTAGAACGAAACGACCATCCAGTGCTTTCAGGTTTTCCATGGCGGTCTAGCTTCAATTGATTCATGATTTCAACTTTTGATTTCATCATTGTTCACATTGGATTATATGTAGTAACAACTTAAAATAAACATTCAGTATAGGTTATGAACTGAAGTGATATGAAATGTACATCATCTAAAATACTTCGATGAATATACAGTCAATTACATAGAGAGATATAAGAGATTATTATACTAAGTCAAAGTTATAAATAACTGAAAACAATTAGAAAAGATTGTCCAAGACAGAATTCAATGAACAATACTGATGGATGGCTTAATCTCCTCCACGAACGGTAACAGAAGTAAATAATTATCTTTAGTTTAAGAGAAGATTTCTTACGACAGGTCATTCATTAAAGAGTTCTACATAAGAACGAAATAGCTATCTAATGTTTTGTAATGATGATGTAACTGAAATAGTTCTATGATAAAACTGATGTATATATTATGTATGAAAAGTGAATTAATATGCTAAAGGTATGAAATCCTATGAATAGCCTTTTTGTTTAGTTAAGAAGAAGATGACCTGCAGAAGAAGAAAAACGTTACTTCTTCGATTCATAGATATTATTTCATTATTATTATTAGTGTCTTTATACAGTTTTTGGTACAAAACAGAGTTCTCAACACAAAGTATTTCAATAAGTTTCCCATTTCTTATTTCTTGATCCATTCTGGCGATAAATATTGAGTGACTGCCAGTTAGATGTTAGTAGTTCACGAATCGATCTCTGAATAATGTACATTCTATTCGGTATATATATAGAAAGTAACTACGATGTCTCTGGATGAGCTCTTTTTTATAACTTGTACAGAGAAAGATCGTGAACTTTTCATGAAAGCATCTGAATAGGTTGTACAATTAATTGACATAATGATATGTTGAAATAAACAAGAAAAGACAAATAACTTGTTAAAATATCTAGAGGGTAGGAACATGTAGCCCGGATATTCAAGCAGGACCTCCTTCCAACCAAAATGAATTGGTGAAGCCTAGTAGGCCCTTCTGAAGAAGTGGCTACATCGAAACACGGCACAACTACCGGAGCAGGATAGCTGTTTTTGCAGTTAAAGCTGTGCTATTTTTCTTTGTAGCACCTTGTAATCGTTTAAGGGTATCGGTTGAGTGGTTGGCTAATTCGATTTCTACCACCCAGTTTACCGCTCATATTAGTCCATGGGACAAGTCCCACTATCCAGGAGGCACGACGAGGATGTGTAAGTCGGGTTTTATCTCCCATTCAACCAGGCCGCCATAATAGAAATTAATCGAAAACGTTTTATCTTCATGGATACAGTCATAATGTGGAACTTAAATGGTTTTAGAAAATATTCATAAATGGATGAGAATAATATCAGAGCATGAATTAGTTTCAAGATATACAATAAAAATTGTAACAATAGAATGATTTATAGAGATGTTTTCTTTTTCGACAACTATGAGATATTCTGATCAATTTTTAGATCACTATAGTATTAATTACGCCTGTTACTCCTCGTGAAGGAGCATAGGCCACCTACCAGCACTCGCCATCCAACCCTGTCCTGGGCAATTATTTCCAGTTACTATTCATCCTTTTCATCCCTGTTTCCCATTCTCGATACAGTATGTTTTTCTGTCTTCCACTTTTCCGTTTCCGTTCAGGATGCCAAGTTAAGGTTTGTCTCGTGATATAGTTTGGTGATTTCCATAATATAATTACTGAACTTTTATTATCGTTCTGAACAATAGCATCATCTGTAAAACATACTACTACTCCTTGTGGAGGAGCATAGGCCGCTCACCGGCACTTACCATCCAATCCTGTCCTGGACAATCCTTCCCAGTTCTTTCCAGTTGTTATTCATACTTTTAATATCTGCTTCCAATTGTCAACGTGATGTGTTCTTCAGCCTTCTACCTTTCCGTTTCCATTCACAATTCCAAGTTAGGGCTTGCCTTGCGATGCAGTTTGGTGATTTCCGTAATGTATGTCCTATCCAATTACAACATCTTTTCCTAATTTCCTCTTCAAATGGAAACTGGTTTAACCTCTCCCACAGAAGACTGTTGCTGATGGCATCCTGATAAAGGATGTAGAGTATTTATAAATACTTGTACTTCCTTGATGATTGTTGTAGTAGTTCTGGAAGTTTCAACTCCGTAAAGTTGAACTAGCTGTTTTGACGTTCGTGTTGAAGATTGTGACTTTGATACTGGTTGACAGACAGTTGTTTTGAGTCCCATATGTTCTTCAATTGTAGGAATGCGGCCCTTACTTTTCCAATCTTTGTCTTTACTTCAGCCTGGGATTCTCCTTGTTCATCGACGATGCTTCCCAGATACGTGAAAGTTTCCACATCTGGAGTTTCTCCATCAAGTGAGTTTTCCGTGTTGTATTTGAGGAACTTGCCTTTCCCCTTGTGCATGTTGAGGCTCACTGATGCACAGGCTGCTATTATACTAGTTGTCTTCATCTGCATTTGTTTGTGTGTATGGGATAGGAGAGCTAGGTCATCTAGGAATTCCAAATCGTCCAATTGATTCTGAGCTGTCGATTGTATTCTGTGTTTTCCCTCAGATGTCGAGGTCTTCATAATCCAGTCAACCACCAGACGAAAAAAGAGAGTAGACAGCCTTGTCTGACTCCGGTCCTTACTCAGAATGTATCTGTCAGTCGTCATCTATTCACAACTTTGCACTGTAGTCCATCGTATAGGTTCCGAATCATGTTGACAATTATTCTCAGGAACTCTATAAAGTACATTTTATACAATTCAACCATCTCTAGCTTATAGAACTCAACAACATTAGAAGTAAAAACAACCTTTTTTGACCTTTCTTCTATTATAAAACAAACAGTTACCATTTGAATTCAGAAAAAAAATATCAAATCGATAATCAACCCCGCTAATTATGTATATTGAAATTTCGACCTTGGTTTTATAAGAACTAAACTGTATCATTGACTTGAAATGTAATTTTAACAAAGATGTTGATATAAGATTATGTATCTAATGAATAAAACTGTAATAATCAATTAAAGAAAAGAAAGAAAGATGCTGTTTATGTTAGTTGTACTTTGACCTAAATGAACTTCATAACAGAAACTTTAAACACATGTTACAATAGAGTTGAATTGTTTTAAAGTCTTTTAAAAGTAATTTACTAGTTGAATTCATGAGTCAATTGAGGCTAGATCATCATGGAAAACCTGGAAGCACTGGAACGATCGTTTCGTCTTATTGTGGGATTCCTCAGCAGAGCGTATCCACAAACCCGCTTCGCGAGATTCGAACACAGGATCTATCAGTCTCGCGCGCGACTGTTTAACTTGTAGATCACTGAGCTGGCCGTTATCCAACGATGTTAATGTCTAAATCCAACTAATCTACGTGATTGAGCGACACCTCCACCATTGTGTTTACTGAGTTACTATCTCACAACAGACCTAGTTAAACTCCACTAGTCACTGATTCTCACTAGAACTCCAGGAAATACCTCTTGGTGATCGTCACTAGTGAGAATATGATGACTATAATGAGAGTGTTATATCCCGATGAGGATAAAGAATGATAACTTTTGGAATCCATTTATGGATCAATACCATACATATATTTTTATCGTATAATTGTTAAGTAACTAAACTATTCATATTCGTGTCCCTCTTATCATAAGCTTTATTTTGACCTATGAACTGTTATTATACGATTCACCATTCTTGAGTTATACCCAGTCTTGAGTTTATGATCGTTTATTGTTTATCCAAGAAGGAATGATTAATGTTAAGCTTGACTCAGATATGTACCTTGATGTGTTGAGACCGCTACTGTAACAATCATTATTATCATTCATTTGTATTGGGTGTTTGAATCTTCCCATTGATGATTAGGACTACAATAGTTCAATCTTTTATCGGCATATGTACATCCTGTACAGATTGCTTCGATATCACAAGGATTATAAACAGAGATGGATGATGGTTTATAATACTTGTGACTCAAAGTAATTCACACAGTATACACATATCCCAATAAGAGACTGATCAATTGCAGTCCTGAATGTCAATGAAAGGTTAAAATAACTCATACAAAAATGAATAAAACTCCACCCGATTGTATAAGTTAGTGGATATCTGAACTCAGTAGCTAATTTGTTAACATAATAACTTTTAAATGGATGTTACTTGGTTCGAGTCCTATAGTGAACATCAACTCTAGTATGCAAGTACATTCAGTTGATGAGTGTAAAATAGGATAGAACAAGTATCCTAGATTTTACTACTTTTAACCACTGTTAACCTATTTCTAAAATATAAATTAATACAATGAGTATAAAATTATAAAATAATAGTCAATTACAAAGAGGACAGTAAACACATGTATTTCAAGTAGTAGCAGAGATACAACATAATGAATCAATAACAAGGGTTAATCATGTTTATCTAAAAGGCTGGTGCAATGCCATGATTCATAGTTACATCAAAAGGGTCAAAGTGAAATGTCAGTCAGTCACCAACAACGTAGAACTTCGTATATACGTACATCAGTTCGAGTTGCCATACCACATTAGCACAGAGATACAATGAGCCTTAAGTAATAGGCTATTTAACTCAATTATTATTATTAGTTGATTGAATCTTATCAATAGAGATTAACATTTTTCCAATTATCATTTCAGTTAGAGACAAAAATCTCCAAATTAAAGTCTACTGATAATGTTACAAATATTGATGTTTTAAAATATTTAAAACAAATACATTTGGAAGCAAAACATCAATTACAATTAATTCAAAGTCAATTAATTGATAAAAATCATCCATACAAATCAACAATGATCCATGAAACTATGACAACAATAACTAATAATATTGGAATACCATATCCTCCACCGTTACCAAATTTTACTACTACAGGTCATCATATAAAAACACATTCAGCAATAATAACTACCACTAACAACAGTACAGCCAAAAGAAATATGCCAATAGTAGAAGGCGGAAGAATTGAAAGAAATAACAATGATTTAATTCCTCGAAGTAGATCATGCAATCTGTTTCTAAGGAATAATAATAATAATATCAATAATAATGGTAATAATAAAGACAATAAACTTCTTGAATTGCCTAAAATTAAAGAGAAAATATCAGAAAACAATATTATGTATCATTCTAGAAACAATTCTAATATCCTTGATGGTATAGACATGAAAGTTTAGTCTATATCTATATACATATATCTAATGACATTCTTCTCAATGATAGGTAAAAGTGTAACAATATCACCATGGAGTTCTCCCCCCTCCGCCTTTTTATATTGGTAACATATAATACTTTGAAGAAATACAGACCTATAAACGAAGAATATTTTTTTTATTTTTGATAAATTCTCTTCACGTTCTACAATTCATATTGTTTATATTTAATAATCCAAAAAAACTTGTCAGGTTTAAGGCTGCTTCGTCCTAGTATGGGACTCTTCAGGAGTGCATATCCACGATCTTATCTGCTGAACTCGAAACACAGGACCTATCGGTATCACACGCGAACGCTTAACATCTAGACCACTGAGATGGCCGGCATCCCACGGAGTTAATGTCTAACTTCAACCAATTCACGAAATCAAGTGATACATCTACTATTGCCTTCAGTGAGTTACTATCTTACAACAGACCTAGTTGAACTCCACTAGTCACTGACTCTCACTAGAACTCCAGGAAATAACTCTTGGTAATCGTCACTAGTGAGCATATGATGACTATAATGAGAGTGTTATATCCCGATGAGGATAATGAATGATAACTTTTGGGACCCATTTATGGATCAATAGCATACAAGTTGTTTAGGCAGATGAAACACATGCCTAAACACTTCATTCGATGAACATTTACAACTTCATCAGTCAATAAGAAAATAAAAATAAAAATAACTAACTTATTGTTTTCATTTCTATTAAATTTCTTTGTCATCAAGATGACGGCTAACAATTCAATCGAAACAAGATGCTTCATGCATCCTCAATATTAGTCCACTGAAAACTATAGACAGTTGTTTATAGTAGAATATCTGTCATCTTAAATGATAGGGATTCACTCCGATCACCCTTTATAACGCTGATATCAAGCTATTTTGTGTTGAATCTGGAAGCATAGATACCTTTTCTAATCGAAATACCTCTTTCATTTTGTGAGAATCCGTCACTCACTCTATTGTAGAAAGCAGTTGGAAATATTCAAGACGTTTGCGTCTGGCTGCTGATAACATTGTGTAAAAGTGAGATAGGTAGATCTAATCTCTACATAACAAAAGCACTATGTTTTGCAATACTTTACTTCTATAATTTAAATACTTTTAATATCGCTTAAAGTTCGATCATGATTGAATTTTGGGGACTGTTGCACAACTCCAGAAGTACCACGAACTTAATGTACGGTTATGAAAACGTCTGTCCAAATACAGTAGACTAAAAGCCGGTATAGATAAAGTGCTTGTGACACCCTGGTAGTTTACACGTCAAGTATTGTTATCAGACAATGAGAAGGGTTAGAAGCATAAGATTGATTTATCTATGACATGGAATCATGAAATAGCTGATTATATTTGGGTGAAAACTATTGGTTTATCATGCATGTGTCACTTACTAAGCCGAGGTAGTGACAACTGCCTTTAAGTAAAACAAAGTAGGCTATTAATTTTAACAAATTAACGCTCATTATTTTCACGTAGTTTAGAAATACAACCTTATTAATGGAACAATATTTATTTATTGTTTATCTGAACACATAAATATTGGTACAAGGAGGCACCATATATGTACGCGCCACACAAGTCACTTGATTTGTGTGTGGGGTGTGATAGTGACCGGGTGCCCGAACCGAAGCAGGTGGTCTTCTCAGGGGGCCACACCGGAGCCCTCGACCTGAAGGTCTGATCCACAAGGCAGTGGAGCAACGTCAGATGCAGTCACATGGTAGCCGGTGACCAACGATTGGTTCATACGACATTTGTTCCTTCAGGACACTGGAGCCTATGTGTACCATAGGTTTGGCATCAGGGTTCTCCAAATGCACTAGATGGGTATTCCATAGCTACCAGCCCAGTTAAAGCACTGGAACAATATAAATAAGGACGGTGAAGATCTATTATTTTCACAGTACTAATGTAGATTTTAGAATATTAGGAAAGTAAAGTTATGTGATAAATATATTATAGCAAGTAAGAAGTTCACCACCAAGATAGAAAGAAGATTAAAATAGTTTGAGAAGCTTCACTAAATACCTTTCAACTATGAAAATTGTATATGGGTAATTATGGAATTTAAAAGCTGATGAGAAGCGATTCAAGTGACCAATACTTTGAAAAAATATGAAACCTTAAAAACCTATCGTTCTTGTAAAACAATCGACAATGATGTCATTAAGTCAAGTCGATAAAAGAGGTATTACTTAAATGAATATAAAATTCTCGAAACCAGATAGGCATCACTCGTAGACATGTCTGATTGACAGAACCAAATTAATTCGTTAATCTTCCTATAACTAATACTAAGTTTATCATCCTAACAACGATCAAAGAAATCAATAGAGCTGTTAAACAAATCAAGAGTGGGAAAGTAGCAGGATCAGATAACATATCAGCTAAAGCACCGAGGTCAGACATAGACGACTGCAAAAGATGATCCATGTTCTATTCAGAAAGGTTTGGAAGGAAGAGCGAATGCCGACAGATTAGAAAAGAGGACACTTCATGAAGATACCAAAGAAAGATCTCAGCAATTGTAAGAACCACAGAGGCACCACACTACTATCAGCAAAGCAAGGGTAGAATTCCTACGATCGAAGAACATATGGAACTTAAAACAATTGTCAGTCGAACAACACCCAATTTAGAATTCTCAATACAGAAGTCAAAACAATCCTGTTGTACGGAGATGAAACGTGGAAAACTACTATAATCATCAAAATAGTACAAGTATTTATAAATAATTGTCTACGCAATATACGTCAGATCTGTTGACCAGTCACCATCAGCTACAATCTAATGTGTGAAAGAATCAGCTTCCAGTGGAAGAGGAAGTCAAGAAATGACACTGGAAATGGACAGAACACACTGGGGAAATGATCAAACTGCACCACGAGGCAATCCCTAACTTGAAATTCTGAAGGGAAATGGGGAAGAGGAAGACCAAATAGCACAATGCGTCGAGAATGTGAAGCAGACACTAAAAGAATGAATAGCACTTGGAAGCAAATGAAAAGGAGAACCCAGGACAGAGTTCGAACTGCTTTCCCTAACATTCAATCAACCCCAATCACCACACTGATCCACGGGTTGATCATACAATTCGTCCGAATCTACCTAGATTTCTTCGTATGCAACTCCTTAAAACAGCAGCCAGAAGTGAGTACAGAAGAAATGCGTCTTATCCTTATCTTTGATATAGTCTATTTTTCTCGTATTCGAAAACATCCTCCTATCTATTTAACTATTTCTTATATCCCCATGATTTTATTCATAATTGTTCCTGATATAACTTCACTTCATTAACCTTCTTTATTGCCTTTAATTATTGTAACAACAATGTTGTAGTTATCGTACTCCATTCACATTATAATCCATTGCCAACTTAATAATTTTATACGATTGTACAGCTTGATAATAAATTCCTTGATAAGAGATCCCTTCACTGAACTTCATGTTCATAATATTCAAATAGGAATGATGTCTATATTTACAATTTACTTTTGATATTATACAGTAAAGAACTGCCGGTCAAAAATACCATCTGGAAACTTTTATTCAGAAAAACTTCATAAAACAAACACAAACGTATTCATGTTTACAAACTTTTTTCTACTATCTATATCTAAAAACAATGAATGCACATATAATTACTTGACTAATCAAGTCAGTCAGCAACAACGTAGAACTTCGTACGCAAGTGCAATAGTTCAAGTTGTCATACCATATTACCACAGAGATACAATTATCCATTCAAATCCCATAGCGGTAGAGCTAATAAAAGTACAAACAGTAATCGCGAAGATTAGATTTTGAAGATGTTAGTCAAGGAGTATAATCTAGTGAAATAAATTTGGAAAGAGAACAAGGAACATGAAGAATTCAGAAGATTAGAATTTGGGAGAACACAAAGAGTGGATGCACCTGCACCATTTTGAGCCATATCATTCATGGTCTATAATCATCGGTCGCTATCGTCTCGCGGATCCCAATCAGACAGTCCTACACCTACCAACATGGCTCAGTTCACCTGTCAGTGACTTCATGGATTTGTGTCATGTTTTGATCTGGCCGCCCCTAGCTTCCTTCCAACCTATTCCTACACCTCATCAAGGCAGTCGGTGCTTGAGTATAACGTAACACATGTCTCAGCCATCTCAACTGACGAAGCTCACTTGACTAATCAAAAGAAGAGAAACAAAACATGAAGAACACCTCATACACACATATATCTAAACACAAACTCAATCATTTATTTAACTTCAAAAGAATTATATACTGTTTGTCTATATATGCATATATTTTTTTGATATTATAGATTACATCCATTTTTTTTCTTATTTAACTAAAATGGTCCACATATATGTAAATGAAGTTAACACAATTGACCATATGTAAGAATATTCAAGAATCATCGGGAGAATAAACACTTTTTTGAGAGAAAAAAATATTTTCCACTTGCTTTCTTCCTTCCTCTACGTAACCATGTCAAAATACAGAGCTAGTACACACATCAAATCAAAGAGAAGAAAAAAGAAAAAGAAGAGAAACAAATACAATTGCATATTGTCTTTTTTTTCTTTAAAAAAAACACAAAAAGGAACATATTGGATAGACAATTCTAGGAAAAGAGAAATGGAGGGTATAACAAAAAAGAGAGGGGGAGAGAAAAAAAACACAAACAAACAAACAATAAAAGATGTAGAAGAGGATTTGATTACTGTGATGTGCGCAGTTTGTGTGATACTTTATGAAAATTAATGAGAAAGTATGCAGAACACATATACGAACTGTTCTAATAAGAAGCGAATAAAAACAAAACAAAATGAAAAGGCTTTTGACAAGTCTAAAAAGCAAAACTGTTGAATAGCAGCACACAAGTACATATAATGCAACAGTTTATGAAAACTGTGACAGCAAAAATATACTGATGAAAAATACATATTGACAGTCTCCTTTGTTTCTTAAAAAAAACGCAAAGATTAGTGCATATCCTCTCTAGAAATGAAATAAGTACTACATGTCGATATTTAGGGTGAACAACCTGGGTCATTATCTTGACTGATTTGATTGAAGGAGTCGGTCAATAGCTGCGTTCACATCCCCAAATGTAGCGATCAATGCTGTAGAAAAAATAATAAATAGATTGGTTAGTTGAAAATATGCTTACAGTTAAATGTTTTCAGGACGTTAATTGTAAACTACGGTAAATGAGATAAACAACTACCCAACTGGAAATTATACTAACTGTGAAGTAATAATATTATGCATGTCGAACAAAGTTATTTATTTATTTTATTTGAACACATGAACATTAGTAAAATGAGGCACCAAATATGTATGCGCCACATAAATCATTCGATTTATGTGAGGGCTAGGATACTGCCCGGGTACCCAAACCGAAGCACGTGGTCTTCTTAGGGGGTCACACCCCGAGCCTTTGACCTAAAGGTCTACCTCATAAGGCGGTGGAGAAACGTCAGGAGATGCCGTTCCATGGTAGCTAGTGATCAACATTAGATTCATACGTCATTTGTTTCCTTAGGATCCTGAAGCCCATGTGCACCACTGATTTGGAATCAAGGTTTTCCAACAAATATTTTGAAAGGGTACAGATCAAGATTACTGTATTAATGGTATAGCTTTCAACCAACCAGTAAAAAATATCTTTTTACCTAGACCGAAGTATTCTATAATAAATTAGTAGAAAAAAAAGTGAAGCACACAAAAATGCATATGCATATAAATCAACTTGATCGAACGACAAAGGGTAACAAAGAGTCATGATCAAAGAAAATGGCAGATTTATAAGAATAATTGGATAGTGATACTCAATTTTTTATAGATGAGTTTAATCAACCTGCAGCCTGATGATTTAACCGTCTCACCAACGCCTACTTAACTGAATACTAAGATAGCGTCTCAAATGTAACAAGGGTAAGTTTTAGACTAAAAAAAGGAAACTATGTACGTATATTATAAACCATGATAAGGAAGATCTAGTATTTACATATCGCAATATATTAAACGGTTATAAATGTCTAACCAAGAGGGTAGTAAGACAGAACTTTTATGCCTTATAAAATAAATTGATTTACAACTTTTTTTTATAAACCTACACATTGTTAGTGAACAATTTACAATTACCTTGCAAATTAGCTTCTCGGTTAACAAAGCCCATATTAGCGAGAACTTCAAGTTCAGCTTGATATCGTTGTTCAGGTGGCTACAAAATAAAAAAGCAGAAAATTGTCAAAAAGATGTTAAATAAGTGCTAGGTAAATTTTATGGATGAATTCAAACGAATAGAAAATTGTAAAAGTATATCTTACAGCATTGTTTGTGGCACCCAATCCATTATTAGTGGTAGACATCATATTCAGCATACTGGATAATAGTGTGGTCAATTCAGCTTGATTAGGTGGATTGGCTGTAGTATCATTAGTACGATCAGCTGTTGTGGAGTCAGAGTTGTCTCCAGGAGCTGGAACTGTTGCCGGGGTCTCTGTAGCTGGGGTTGTACCAGACGTAACTGAACCTGGACCAGTTGGAGGTGCAGACATACCTAAACTAGTTAAAACACCTGGGGCTTCTTGTTGCAGTGTCTGAAGTCCTTGTTGGATCTGCATCATAGCCTTTGGAGAAAACAAAACAGTTTAAAAATCCATTTAGTTTGTATATGTTTAGAACCAAAAATCTGTAACCAAATCTGTAACAAAAAATAATGAGATTGAAGCTCAGTATATTCTTACAGAACCGATTAATCAACAGTTGACAGTTCATACTCCTAGACGCTTCAATGAACGTACGCTACAGAAGTTGGCAAACCGTGAAAATCGATAAAGTCAAATGTCAATAGCTACTTATTAAATGTATCAAGCAAAGTTTAGCTTATGGGACTTTGCATAGTAGCATACTCGTCGGTTTTTAAATCTTGAAACATTAATACACTTGAATCACTTCCCATTTAACGAGTCTAATATTTGGTTAGGAACGTTACAGTTAGTAAATGTTTGTGTATTTACCAAAAATATTTCATCATGATCAAAAAATAGAAGTTCTGGCCAGTTGTTTAGTTACACTTCGGGGTCACTTAGGACCGCATATGGAATAGATATCAGAAAATATGTTAGGAAAAAAAGAGAAGGCTATATTTGTCACATGGGTTAATTAGAGGAAATAAATATTAAAGGGAACTATATATTAGTCCTCAGAAATTTACAATGTATATTGTGAAAACATCTATTCTACAGAATTTCCTAATTGGTACAAAATAAAAACGTTAACCTTTCCAGTTAGGACTATCAACTGAACTATTCAGTATAAAAATCTAAGAGTTAAAATTATGACATGTAATAATTTCATTACATTAATTCAACAGATAGATACTCAGTAAGAATACATGTTAAGGATCTATAATCAATTCAGACTACATTTTACTCATGCATGAAGTTAGTATTTGAGTGTATATTCTTCAAACATGAAAATTACTAAGCATTTTTGTGTACGAATTGAGTTTAGTAATCAAACTATAAACTCCCTATTGATTCGATTGTTACAAGATGAAGTAGTAGGTGATAAAATATAAATGATGATATGACATAGAGCTGATCATAATTTAAAAAAGTGTAGTAAGGGCACTGATTTCATATTTATTCATTTAGTAATCTGTAAAGCTTATAGACGTGAGACAGTTATCCACATCTTCACTTAGATTAAGTTTAGGTAAACATAAATTCGTTAAACATCCTTTTACTTTAATTCATGATTATGAGTAGTCCATCCTTTAAATTTCAGTTTTGAAATGTTCCGAAATGAAAAGCCATATAACTAGGTATACGGTAAGTAAGCTTAATGTTATTGATTCAACTTATTAGACATTTTCAGTCAGTTAGATTGACATTTTATCCACAAAACAAGTCTATATCACATCTGGTTCATAAAATTTACCACTTTGATGGAGTAGAATGTGTAGTTCTTTAACCTATTCAGCGTAAAATGGAGAAAATGTTTACCATGTAAGAGTACCCTTATTAAGGACACCTTAATGTGTATGGTAAGGGTCAGATATACATATATATTTATAAGACTATATTGCAGATAGAGATAAAATTCCCCAATTGTAATTAATCGGAATCTATGCAAGACAGACGCTACATAATGTACCCAACATTATAAAAAGGATAAATGGATAAAAAGTCAAATCAAAAAATTTGTACAAACATGTGGATAACTTATGAATAAATCAACTGATATCGAGATTACAACCGACTGGTATAGATATTGTGGAATACACATATAATGGAAGATAATTGATAAGATAAACAACCACTTTATCAGGGTATCTTCACTTATAAATACGTCACATAATATCAAAAAACCATAGTACAGTAACTTTTGGGTGTCTTAAAGAAAAGGTTTTACATGTGTCTGGAAAAAATTAGGTTGATAGAACTTAGCGAAACACATTCCAAATACTTAGCCAGCATATATCAGTGCTATGTTTTGTCCATATTAGGTCAAATATTTTTCAGGTGGCCACAATACGAAAATGATCCATTTGTAAGTGCAATACCGTAATGATGTTTCCCCCCAGGATTTCTGAAGGGAAAAGGAAAAGAGGAAGACCAAAGAACACATTGTGTCGGGAATTGGAAGCAGAAATGAAATGAATGAGTAGTAACTGGAAAGGATTGCTCAGGACGGAGTTGGATGGAGAATGCTGGTGAGCGGCCTATGCTCCTCCACAAGGGGCAACAGGCGTAAGCAATGATTTTTCAATACAAGCATGATAAGAGGAAAGTGGCAAATAAACCTTAGTTGACTAAAATGATTTATCAATAAATCTACATGTAAACATGTATTCCAACATTATTATTATCTGGAGAATTGATAAGCTATTTATTGAATTCTGAGTGAGAGTACAAACATGTTCGGACTATTTCAAAAAGTTTAGCTAAATGATATGGTGAGCCAATCAGAAGTGGCCAAACGAGAAGGTCAATCGATGACAAAAGCAACCTGAAGGACAAGTGCACATCACTGGTTAGAAAATGGATTGATCTAAGGGATAGAGATGTATATATAAATGACTATTTGTGCACATTATTGGGTAGCTCAATATGCTTTCTCGTACGCTCTTGTGTTTTCGTTCAAGTAGTCAGGTGGGAAGTTAGCATATAACATATCGTGTATCAATATCAGATCTCGGACGCCGCCCATAATAACTTATCAGTAGTTAATAGGCTTGGAATATTTTATAATCAAAGTCACTGTGATTTCAAATTTATCACTTTACCTTCTGTTGTGCATAAGTAGCAAGTTATATATTTACGTAAAAAGTGACTTACAAATATTTTAATTTCAATAAATTATTAATTCCTTGAATTATAATAATAAATAGCAAGATTATTGGTATATTAAATAATAAAGTCTATGTCTTACTTGGAGAGCACGAGGATTTGATAACATGTTCATAAATGATGGTTGATTGATCTGGTTAGCTAATTGTGGGAGCATTTGTCTCATTTGATCACGTACATTTGGATTAACGCTAGAAATCATTGGATTATTCATGATTAGATTTTCCATAACTGAAGGGTTTGCACTCATTGCTTCAAGCATGGCTTGCACGTATGGGACCTGCTTAGTACAATAAACGTTAAAAAGTTATTCAGTTTTAGGATTACAAATAATTCAATGGTCGTTGTTTAATAACACAGGGAAGTTACTATTATTCACTGAATAACCGGCTACAAAATCTTGAGCATTCGAGGACATTACAAGACTTTTGTTTATGAAGTGGTTCTGATAATCTTCGTCTTCTTATTACATTATCGAGTTTTACGAAGTCGTTATTAAAATAATAGTTTCTTGCATAATCAGTTTCAATTAATTATTTTGCATTTTATTTTTGTTGTACACTTTACGTACGTCATTTATAACCATTTTAGTGTAAAAAGATAAAAATTTCTTGTTAAAGTTATAATTCTAATTAATCTTGAACATCGATCTCATATCACTAGGATTTTAGTCTACTGACAAAAAACGAAACAGTAAACGTTACTGTCATTTATACCGTGATAAGTAAAATAAGTTAACTTATTAACCAACTACTTGATTACGAGCAATACTTTAAGTGAGAGAATTACTGATACTACTTGGTTATCTAAAATGAAGTAAGCGAAGAGGGATTCGAAACTGGAGTTTAGTGGCTGAAAGACAGACGTCTCAACCATTAACTCATTATTTATAAGACCATTATTTTAATTTCGTTTGGTAAAATTCTTGTTAATTTCCCCTCGATATGATGTGATATAGTGACATGGGTCAATGTACTTTTATGTAAAGTCCTGAATTTCACCAATAATGGAATTATAACAATTTTTATTACTCAAAAAAGTACACTAGCCAAATCAAACTTTACAGTAAGTAGGTTAAGATTGAAAAGAAGTTATGAAACTGGTGAATAAGACCAGATCACTGGGGCAGATGAGACGATTGTATTTCTTAGATAACTTTACGATGGTCATACGTTTTAATCTCGAGAGCCTTATGGAAGGTAGAAGTATGATGTTTCCACAGGAATCTCAAACATTTAATTCCCTTAATAAAACTTGCGCTTTTAACTCAAACATTAACGAAAATACGATATAATTCCCATTGAATAACAATTACTACATATACACCCACCTGAAAAGCATTTGATACCAACTCGGGACTAGAAGATAGTTGGTTTAGCATAGTTTGCACAAAATCACTGTTACGATTTGAATTCGCCGAACTAGGTGCTGTTGTAGTATTGTTATTTGTAGATGAGTTGTTTGTAGCTGGAGCCCAAGGATTCGGCATAGGTTCAGTGGCAGGAGCACCTTGTCGCACACCACCTAAATAATCCAGGAAAATATTTGAAATATAAAGAGTTTCTAACTAGTCATTTAACGAAACATAACAGAAAGATACCAGTTGTTTATTAACTAAATTATGAAATTTCGATCGAGCGATCAACTGACTTACAGATAAAAACATACAGCTATGCGAATGGATACATACCTGCTAAATTTGCGAAGGGATTTTGCTCCGAATTGCCATTTGACTGATTACCGCTTAAGCTGGAGCCAATGCTTGAGGCTGCATCCATTATTGGTTCTTGGATATCCCGAAATATCCGTTGCAAATGATTCATTCCTCCGGGTACCGATTCCAGATTGGAAATCGCTCGGTCATAGTTACGAACCATCTCCTGCATCATAGCCGGATTGCGGGCTATCTCCATGGACTGTCGAAGAAGATCTGGATTGTTAAGCATATGTCCTAACTCAGGATTGCGCTAAAAATAATAACGGTAGTATTAGTTCAACTGAATGAACGTTAAGAAATAGAAAATTAGTATTTTAAGACTACTGCCCTTTACTTACTTCAATCAAATCACGCATTTGAGGATTCGCTTGAAATAAACTTCTGATGACCTCTGGATTGCTCATCAAAGATTGAACAAGAGGACTGTCTAGCATGTTGCGAAGAAGTTCGGGATTCTGCATCACTTGAGCCTGCATAGCTTGTTGCATACCGGCGAAAGTGTTCACTATGAATACAAACGATGTTTTGTTAGTTTAAATCTATCTATGAATGATAAAGTTTAAAATATCTTACATCTTTAATTTTAATTTGCAGTCTATCTGAAAGTCAAAGATATTGTCATTAATATAAATGTACTACTAAAACGAATGAGAATTGAACTCAGCGATCAGGTCTTAATTTTACTGGCAGGTGTGACATGCAAAATGTGTCGTACGACCACTTATATTTGGTTTAAAAAAAACCTTGTTTTTGGTATTGTTATCTATATATGTTCATCTAAGGGTTTACGTCAATGATTTGGCTTTGTGAGTTAACAATCAACGATATCGTACAACTGCGCGTCCATTGATCAGAATCATGTTCACCGTTTTAATAAACAAAAGTACGTTTGTAACATCAAATTTTCTCCTTAACCATAAACCAGCAAGTCCTAGCTGCTAACCGAGAGCGAGTCAAAACTTCCGTTTACCACGTATCTGAGAGCGACTTCATCTGTGTTACTATTTACTAGCATTTGGCAGAGAAAAGGAGGAAAACACAATAGAGCAAACTACGGTAATGATTGTATGATTACAGCTAACTGATGGAGTTAGTTTCCGCTGTTTCTGTGCAAGCTTCAGGAAGAAAATATGTGCGCTGTAAAGACCAATCCAATCCTTATGTCATTACTTAGAAAACTGTCGAACACCATCTATTCATCATTCATTTGATTTTAACAAAATATACGAGAAACAGGAAATGGAGAATATCCTGATGAACGTGAGTAAAAATAGGTTTACAAGCACAAACCTGAGTATAATGCAACAAATTAACGAAACGCGAATGTTGAAACTGTCTTGAATAGACTGATTAGACAAACGATACGTAAACATCCATTTAGTGGAGAAAATGAGAGCTCATCTCTAGTCAGTCAAGTAGCCTACATATCAGATTAATAACCAGTAACTTCATGGGTAAAAAGCTTTTACATAAGATATGGTTTGGAATAATTAGCCTTTGTGACACCCATTCAGATCATTAGTACAATACAATTGACGAACTTCGTTAGGACAAACACACAGGTCTAACCTTTCCTACAAAGGTTATCAAAGGTTATCGCATTCTTTCGAAAAAGCCTCGGAAGTAGTTGAAAAACTTTTTAAATCGTTATGTTTATTTATTTAAACACATAGATATTGGTACAAGGAGGCACCAAATACATATGCGCCACATAAATCATTCGATATGTGTGGGAGCTGGGATACTGCCCGGGTGCCTAAACCGAAGCAGGTGGTTTTCTTAGGGGGCCATTCCCCGAGCCTTTGACCTAAAGGTCTGATCCACAAAGCAGTGGAGCATCGTGAGGAGATGCAGTCACATGGTAGCCAGTGACCAACGATTGGTTCATACACCATTTGTTCCTTCAGGATACTGGGGCCCATGTGCACCAATGGTTTGGAATCCGGTTAAAGCGCCGGACATTCACTTTTCGTCCTCTCAATTTCGTAAACAACACCCGTGGTGCGAGAAGGCAGTGAGTAGTACTTCCCTCGCAGAGGCTATATACGCATGGCCGTGTGAGAGCATTTTGAGAGGGAAGGCGGGCCCACCCCACTCTCGGCCATACCTGGGCATTTGGTGGCTAAAGTCACACTATATATATATATATATATATATATATATATATAAATTTAGTTACGATAGAAGGAATGATACCGACCTACAATAAGTTTCGACCCATACTTGGTGTACTAATTATAATTATAATTTTGTTACACTTGCAAGAAATTCTGATGCATTTAACATTGAGGTTATAAATAACAAAAACACGTACACTGAAGAGACATGAAGGTGAGGAGTAATCATACAGCTACATGAACGGGTTATTTCTGAGAAAAATTGTTATCCGAGTATATGGGTAAGTCTGCTGCATGTGGAGTAAAGGTAGGTACTACTAGATTAAATATTCAGACAAGCGGACATGACACCAAAGAAAACTCGGTAAGATCAGTGTTGTATGAAACTTACCACCAGTAGCACCAGTTTGTGATGGATTACTTGGACTCCTACTTTCTCTTGGTCTATTGCCCACATCCGTTACAACTGAAGAGGTTCCTGTTGGGTTAACCTGGGAGGGCTATAATCTACTCAAACTTAGTTTTAATAAAACAAACCTGTTGTTGTTTCTGCAAGAATAAGTATTACCACAAATCGTGAACCTACCGAAATCACCAAATGAATAATAAACCCATCCTTGATTTTTAGTTGTTCAATAGTATCTTCATCTTTAAGAATCTTGCCTCCAAAAATCAGAATGAGTCTTTCTGATGGAGTCTCGAACGCTTTTGATGCTTCATCTCGAAGCTGCAATAAGATTAAGATACACTTATGGTAACGAAAAGACTACTTCTTTAACTGAACATGAACTAGGGACGGAAACTGTCTTCTCCCCTCGAGGAGCTTTGATTCGCAGACTGAAGTTTGACATCACTAATCTCCGGATTCAAGTGTAGCGCTGTCCAACACTCTCCATACAGTTATAACAATAATCGAATGAACTGTTGTTCTGTTGATGTTCTTTAGTGGTCGCACGAATTGAAACTCTGTGATTCTATTCCTTCGACCACAATAATTGAGAATTGTAGATATTGTATCCATATAACACAATTCTGAACGAAATTTTACAAATAGCTGGTGTTCTCATGATATTTGATAATGTTTTGAATGTGCTCTCTTGTTGGAAGTGAACACTGTGACTTCCTCAGTCAGTGCATCGTTTCAAAAAAAGCCCAAAGATAGAAGTTTTCAGACGACCCCTAGTTTGGGTGTAAATTCCTTTAGTCGTTCATCATAAGTGACTTTCATGTCAACGAACAGGGCACTCAACATGGTCGGAGCACTAAAAAGCTTGATTTGTTACTATACTTTTCAAATCTCAGAGCATGACTATGAAGCAAATGCAATATTCTCTGAGATCTCACAAATACACTCTTCTTCTTTAATGTCTCCCATCAACACGGCGCCCAAATACTGTGGAACTGTTCGACCAAATTTAGAAGGAAGTTCGTATACTTCATTTGCAACTGTTTTGTAACGAAACTCATCTTGGAGTTGCAGATGCGGTACATCTACATTACTAATAATAACATTAAAACTGTCTTTCACTCTTCACAAAGATCTTCGTCTAAACGGGAAAAATAGATTCACAAGAGTTGTATGCTGAGTTGTTGTAAAACATCGAACCTAAAATGAATCCAGCGTTTTATAGTAACATGTCGATCACAAATTTTTCGTAATCATAGTAAAGAGCATTATTTTCTTTGTGGCGTCTATATGACACGACATAAAATCTGACTCAGTGTTTCCATGGAATTTTGCGTGTTATCTTGGTATTTATTGAAGTCGTTCAAAAACAAGCACTGAAGTTAGTAATCTCATACAACATTTTATTTTTAAAAGAGAAACGCTTACTTATCCGCATGGTAAGTTACTGCACTAAGAGGTTGAATGACACTATAATCAAAGAGATGATTCATTAAAGAATTTGAACCACAATACTGATTTTGTGCTGACATTTATCTGCTGTTAAAGATTACTAACATTTTACGATTAAAATGTATTACAGCCAGTCATATTATCTGATGAAAATAGGCTGTCTGAAACTATTTTATTCTATCCTGTATCACATAATGACAAAATGAACAGATGATAAGTTTTTCCATGAAGACAACTGGGTTTATTTGTTTGTAGGATTATGGTTTAAGCTGGTTATTTGTACTGCTTTAATAATAGACTTAGTCCTAAAATTTTAGATATATCATGATGTATGTAATGGAGAGAAAAAGCACTTCGTTGGACAGTACTGTCATTTATTTGTTTCTTACCTTTGTTACCTACTTCTTCTGTTGCATGTTGCCAGAATATTGGTAATAAGGCCGTGTTTCATGTCAAGGGGAAAGGGAACGTTATAACCAAGCTGTGGATGACAAGGTGACGCCGTAAGAGTCTGTGTTTGCTTCACTTGCAGTTGACACACAGTGATACCTAAGGATTTAGACCTACTATAGAGAGAAATCATAAGGTTTGGTGGTGATCCTGTGAACTAATGAAGTTCCGTACGTAATCTAGAAGACTTTCGATGAATGTGTTGGATCCCGATCTAGGTTCAGCTACTTGATTCAGTATATTAATAGTGAAGCTAAGGCTGCTATTATCCATTGCGCATTACCAACATGAAGCGTTGAAGTATGAGTTCAGAAACACATCGTGGCCCATGTATTTATTGATAAGATGCTTAACATCAACTATAACTTTTTGGTTTGTGCCCCTATCAGTGTATAACGTAATGACACTGCAAATTAGAGAACAGTGGTTTATCGACTGGTCCAATGACGCATAAAACCCGTACGAGCAGTCTAGAGTCCTTATCGGTCCTTCTTCCTGCCTAGTCCTATCTGTTAAGTCCAGAACATCAATCTCAGCCTCTACGATATGAATCATGTCTTTCAAACATACTAAGTTTATATACAAACCAACCAGAAAACTTAGCACCATAAAATAGGAAATAACATTTTTACACGATTTAACCAAAAGTGGCTGTGAATGTTGGAGATAGTAATTGCTAGTCCAGACATAACTCAGGAACGGTAAATGGTATAATAGTGGTTCATAGGTCAAAATAAAGCTCATAGTAAGAGGGACATGAATATGAATAGTTTATTAACAATCTTACGATAAAAAATATGTGTATAGTATTAGTCCATAAATAGATTGCAAAATTTATCACTTAGTATTCTCGTCGGGATACAACACCATCTCTGGTATTAAGGTGACTAATCCATATAATTTAAGAAGACTATCTCGCAAGATGCAGGTTTGTAAGCTAATGCACAGGCGGATGAACTATGTATGCGATCCTAATTATAGAAAGTCCATCGAGATTATATCTTTGAAACTCCCACTATATATACAAAGATAATGGGTGAAAGTGACATGTAGAGTCCTCAAGATGGGTGGAAGGTCTTAATTTACAGACCTTTGTGAATTTGTGAAAGAGCAGTCGCATATTGATAATACCAGGTATGGATTGCTTGTCAATGGAGATTCCTTTAATCGTAACCAAAGGCAGTCGGCTGTTGTTACTAAAAGAAACCTTTATTAACATTGTAGGGCGAGAGAGTCGTTTTCCAACACGAGTGGGTCTGACGTCACTTCCTTCGTACGGCCAAACACTTAGGTTGTCATATTTATTATGTACTGAAAACCACCCCTAGACAAGTGTGAAAAGTTTAGAGACAAGGATATTAATGAAAGGACAGAGTTTGTACTGAAGAAGTTGTGTAATATCTGTCTGAAAGCGAACCATATGGCAAGAAACTGTCGAGCACCGAGGTCATGGTCCGTCGAAGGATGTGACTGGGGACACCATACCTTGTTACACTGTAGGAGGGAAGAGCAGAAAACGTGAGTAGTTATGTCCATATTAATATCCAACTATATACGGAGGAAAGTACTAAGCGTATACAGAGACAGGTGGTATTCACAATAATTCATTTATTAGTAAAAAATAGAAAAAGGGAGGCACAGACTTGTTCTTTCCTCAATAGTGGCTCAGACGCTTCTCTTATTGCGGAAGATCTAGCTATAGGGCTGAATCTAGAGGGAGAGACAAGATGCTTTTATTGAAAACGCTAGATAGCCAATCCACACTTCACTGTAAAGAGGTTCAACTAGAAGTTTCCTCCTTAGATTCTTCATCTTTCAGAATTTCGAAGGTATGAACGGTCGAGGGATTACCTATGTTACGTAGGACGGTGTCAACGATATCACAGATGACATTGTGGTTTCACTTGCGCTGTGTGAACCTCCCAAAAGTTGACAACGAAGGCGTCAAAGTACTGATGGGGTGCAATGCGCCCGAGACACATGAAATAAAAGAGAGGAGTGTGGTCAAATCTAGCAAACCGCACGCTTTAAGAACTCCTTTAGGGTCGGCGGTGTATGTACCTGGCAGAGAGATCACAAAAAAACATGGATATAGCAAATTATCTATAGTCTAAAGATGAACGAGAAGCTAGATTAGGCCAGTCATACAAGATGGAATTTCAAGTGGACCGGAATCACTGTGGGTCCATGTCGGTTAAAGAACGTAAGGCCTAGGATGCTATATCCAAATCTATACAGTTAGTGAACAGGCAATACCAAATAGCTTTATCCTGGTGTCACCAACAAAGCCTACCTGATAATAGAGAACTAGGGATGAGTAGATTAAATTTCTTGAGAAACCGGCCTATCCATGACCAGAGAGAACATAAGGAATATGTTAATGTGATGGTACAGTATGCTGAACGAGACTACGCCGAAAAGGATATAGAGAATCACTATATTCTCAGATGAAGAAAATGCTACGTCTAGGGGGTTTAATCTGACCAAGTCGGCCAGCAAGAATTTTGAATCAGTGAAGTTTGTTACAGAGGAAGATTTCATAGAAAGAAATATAGGTATTTCTTTATCTATGAAAAGAAACGAAAGAACTCTATGAATTGAATGGAATCTTCTTCTGAGGGTACAACTTCGATGCGACGCTCACAGAGAACCATTTTGTCGTATGTAGCTTCTACATTCGAACTATTCGGGTTTATAGCCCCAGTCATTTTATTGGGACTGTTGGCTCAGATATATGAGGTGCCTAAGCAAACTGTTACCTCCCACATGTCTCGTACCGGAATAGTAAAAACCTCTAGCTACTCAGATTTATTGCTTTGCTGATGTCCCAGAATCCACATGAGGCGTATGCTCTTCTTGAAGATTTCTCCCGTCAAGTTCATTGTTTTCTTCTATTAGCTAAACCAAGGCTGCCCCAGTAAAACCTTTAATCATTCTTCAAACGAAATTAACAGTTGCTGTACTGTGTGCTACAGTCGGAAAACACGTGGAACAACGACCGCGTATTTTTCTCTCTCATGTCACTTATTGGTCAAATTAATTGCAATTAGTCGTACTTCATTGTATATGAAGCACAACCAAATGACTTGAGAGTAATAGATTGGCAGCGATTCACAAACTGTCTACACCAAACCAATGGAGACATTCTAAAAGTCAATAGATTCCTACGATCATGCTTCTTGTAGAAAGTTGTTAAATTATAGCACTAAACCGAGTGGTTTAACGGACCGAATTTTTCATGACAGAACGAAAGTAACTGGCCAAATTCACACGAAGAGGCGAACCATGATTTAGCCTATTCGATTGCAGAAGAAATAAGCAAAATACCAACAGTTAATCGTTTGAATCAACTTAGTAATTATAAGATCTGGTCCACAATGCTGAAAATATTTGCTGCATGCAAACGTTTCCTCCACACTATTAGGACGAGATTAGACAGAAGACCATTAATCTTTGGTGCATTGAGATTGGAAGATGTTGGCAGTGCGAGACAAAATATATAATTAAATTGGTTCAAATTACCGTATGGTGAACAAGAACACCAATGGGGACAGTCGAATGTATTTGACACTAAATTACAGAGCATCTCAATAAAATCTGAGAACCATATAATAAATTGTTAATTTGCAAAATATCAATCCATCATATCACACTTGACTGTTCCTGTTGCCAGCATCAATCCATTGTCTCAGATTTCATTTTTCCACGCGTTTTCATACCAATTGCGCTTCGTTCCCGTTCTTTCCTCATCGGCCTTCTACTGAAATACATTATATGCCTGACCACTGTTATATACTACTTGTGTGGA